TGTATGCTAAAACAACCACACTATACCACAATATAGTACTTACCTGCAAGAAAGGGTAGAGACTTGAAACACTGCTGCAGGTCCAGACTGAAACAAAAGGAAAGTGGAAAACAAACGGGTGTGGCAACATAAAACAAACATTTAAGTGAATCCAAGAGACTGGGAAATCGAGGGACAGAATATAAGAATGAACTCAGAAACCCAGCAAAAACGAAAACCAGAAAAACCAAGCAAGGACAGCAAAAAGAGTACTGGATACCAGAAGCCATTGCCAGAATGATCCGCAGCGAGGAACAGGATGTGACACTAGGTCTTCAATTCAGTGAAACAACGTTATTTAATGTATTATCAAAAATACATGAGCTGTGAATAACAAAAAATCTACGTTTCGACCCTCCTGGGGTCTTGATCTTGATAAAGACCCCAGGAGGGTCGAAACGTCGATTTTTTTTTTTTGTTATTCACAGCTCATGTATTTTTGATAATACATTAAGTAACTTTGTTTCACTGAATTGAAGACCTAGTATGCTCCCTTTATCTACTTTTTATTTTATATATATATATATATATATATATATATATATATATATCTATGGTACTTCAAATTGTGCAAACATCTTCACCTATACTTGAAAATTACTATGTGTACAAATTATTCCTATGTGGGCAATTTTCATGTGGCCTTTTTTTCACGTGCACTTTTTTCTGATCACCGAAGTTGTTGCCATTTTTACAAATTAGTTAATCCCTGCCTTATTTAAAGTTGACTGATGTTATTTGTTGCTGCCTCTACAGAAAACATATCTTGATGGTATGTACAATGCTTCCTTTAGGGTAATTAAAATCACAGGAATTACCCTGGGCTGGAAAATTTTGTGTGTGTGTGTGTGTGTGTGTGTATATATATATATATATATAACACCCTGAGAATGTGGACATATCAGGGTAGGTTTGATTTTGGGAGGGCTTCATGCGACCACCAGGACAAACCTAGAAACTCTATGGAACTGCCAAAGATATAGGAACTTTGAGACAACCCACTGAAACTTTAATTAGAGGTAGCTCAGACCCCCTATGACAGATCATGGCACTATTTAGCCAGTTAGGGCACTCAGGGATGAGCTATCTAGGGATACCACACATGTGGGATTTTGTGATGTTTGTATGTGTTTATGTTTGGGGGGGATATTCTGTTAGGGCACCTTGTTGATTAGATCAGCGGTATTTGATCTGATAATCTCCCAGACACGGAGGCGCCTGGGTGGGATCTCCATTGTTTTAGTTAATGACCCCCTACAGTCTGTGTATAAATATGTACATTTGAACCAAATAAAGTGTTTTCACCTTTCATCGAATCTAGTTGATGTTTGGGTGAGCTTTTGATAATCACTGAAAGTATCACAAGGATTTTAGACAGATTTGCTGCCTCAGACCTGACCTTTAGTGGTCTTACATTCTTAGACTCCAATATTCTGTTGACAGGCTCAAGTGAAAACATGACAGAAAACTGAAGCAGAAAACACAAAGTTAAATTACTACTTGGAATTTGTTTGATAATTGGTTTGTGTGCTATTTTTGCCTCTCTGTGGTTTTATGATGATGTAAGTTTCTGTCAGTGAGTGGTTTATGGGCTATATCTCGAACATTTCTCTGAGAAATCTTCATTTCCCAAAATGCTGAGACATCACTGCCTACCTAGGAAGTTTGATGGGGCTCTACTCCTCACTTTTTTTCCACTGAGTATAGGAAACCAATACAGCAAAACTAACATAGGAGGAACAGAAAAATTGGTCAGGAAATTGAGAAACTGGGTCAGGAGGGCAATACGATTTCAAAGTGTAAGAGTGTTTAGTGGTTTAAGTTCCACACACACCTTCAAATGAATCCATTGACCATGAGAACTCATTACATTATCCAGCATGACTTAGAACTTTCAATGTCATTGCTTTAAATTCATTCTATACAGAAAGAAAAAAATCTGAGTAATTCACTAAATTGAGAATTCAAAGCAAATGTCAAATTGCAGGTCATAATAGCTGAAATTGTAAAATAAAATATCTAAATCAGATATACTTTCAGTTCAGCTTTTATGGCCTTAAATTTAAAATTCACTTTGAATTCTCACTTTAGTAAATAATCCTGTATGTCAAACGGAAAGGCTAACATGGGCCAAATAAACAAGGTTTTAGTTTATGTGGGCCGCAAACTGATTCCAACCCGGAAGTGACGGGAAGCCGCAAGTGTCGTTATGATGTAATAACGCTCTCAGAGATATCGTGGTTACTAGGAAACCAGCTAAATCGTGAGACCAGGCCGACGTGGTAACTAGGTGATAAATCAACAAATATGAAAAAGTGAAAATTTAATCACGATAAAAACACCAAGCAGGAATGAGATATATATATATATATATATATATATATATATTATATATTATTTAATATTGAATGCATATTTATTTATAAGGCCCTTTCAATCTTCATTAAAGACTCTAATGAGTATAATAGAGCCTGAATGGGGTCTTATTGGGCTGTTGGGCTTGAAAGTGGTGGTGGTGACTGTTAACCCACCTCCCCCCATTCACAATCTGCTGTCCCCATCCAATTTCTACAAAACCCCAGCATCCCCCTATTTTAAGCCCTAGCACCCCCCTCTCCAAAACCCCAGCACCCACTCATCAAAACCCCACCCCCTGTACAAATCCCCAGCCCCCTGTATAAAACTCCAGCCCCCTTGTACAAAACACCAGCCCCTGAAAACCCAGCCCTCCTGTACAAAACCCCAGCCCCCCTGTACAAAACCCCAACCCCCTTTTCAAAACCCCAACCCCCCTGTACAAAACCCCAACCCCCTGTACAAAACCCCAACCCCCCAGTACAAAACTCCAGTCCCTTTGTACAAAACTCTATCCTATGTTTAAAAAAATAAAAAATATTAGCATCCAGACTCATACTTTACTCACCTTGTGTACCTAGTGTCCTGCGTCTATACCCCCACTGGCGCTGTCCTTGAAGACGGAGTGACGCCCACCTTCACCCGCCTCTCTCCGTTCCTGGACTGCCTCTGCCAGCCTCTGGACCGCCTCCGCCTGCTTCTATCCATCTCCGCCCACCTACGCCGGCTTCATTTCATCTCCACCCGCCTCCAGGTGACCGGAGCAATGAACATCTTTGCTGGGTCGCAAAAATATTCATTGTGGGCCGCATGCAGCTCATGGGCCGCGAGTTTGACATCCATGCTGTATGTATTCAATAACACCGTAATTATTGTCATATATGATTTTCATTTGGTTTTCTTTGCTAGTGACTTATATATTGTTTTGTGTTGTTGAAATAATGCAAAAAATTATTGGAAAAAAATGAATATGAAGGTAAAGACAAAAGATGACAGCAGTTTAATCACTCTTCATCTGTGACATTCAGCACTCAATTCACATACACATCAGATTATAGGGCTAATCTGGGCACTTTAGCTCCACTGCTTTATGCATGGAGGTTCGAAATTCAACTGAGGAGATCTGACTTTTAGATCACAAGAACTCTGTAACTGGTGGCCCTTGGCCCCTCACTACATTAAGAGGGACCTTGTGATGTGCCCCTCTGGTGGGTGCAGTTTGCTGCCAACACTCCTTCGTAGTCTGGCACTCAGTGAGTGAGTCATTCAGATGCACTAGATGGAGCTTTTCCAATGATCTGCCCCAACAGAGGTGCAGACCACAAGTTCCATTTTTTTTTTTTTGCTAAATGTGGCAATGCAGAGATATTCTGTTGACACATCCTACCATTTCCTATAAGCTGTTGTTGAAGGCTAAAGGAAACGTATCTTCTCGTACAATGCACAATAGGAACCAATGGCATCTTTTTGCACAGGAGTGAAAAGATCTATGGAAGATCTCACAGGGCTTAAATTGACCTCTTTTAGAACTCCTGTACCTGTATAAGAACTGATGTGGCTCCAGGTAGAAGATACCATAGGGAGCTGAAGGGGCGAAGATGGCAGCACCAAAGAGGGAGAACATAAATATCTATCTACTCCCCCTGGACACCACCACACAAAAGTGTACGTCGCCTTGGAGAGGGTGTTTTACAAAAAATGCAAAGTTGCTCACCATGCAGTGTGATTACAGAATCTGCATGGCATGATGCTCAGAGTTGGGGCACCTTTCTGCTTGGTGAAAAGTTTCCAAAGTGCTAAACGTACATGTATCCTCTCATGGCGCTCTCGTGCAAGGTACTATGGGGCTAAATTAATTTGTAACGCATAGTGTGAGTCTGCAATCCAGACATAAAGGACAAATTTAAAAAAAAACAAAAAAAACTTCCATCTAACTTGAAAGGTTCTAACTTGTCTATCTTGTAGTGAACTTATACATGTAGAAGACATGTGTCTCCTTTTCTTACAATGAGTACTAATCACAATGTGAAACCTTGGATTCAGGTATCATAAACCTGCTGTATCAACATACCTCCCAAGTGTCCCTATTTAGGAGGGACAGCAGCTATTTGGGGCTCAAACCACTGTGTCCCTGTTTTCTTTCCTAAAGTCCCTATTTTCTCTTTTCAATATTGTTTGCTTCTCTGAGTGTATAACTGAGCTCCACAGCAATAATACCCCCAGTAATGTGTCTTTATACTGCAATAAATGTGTTTAGAAATCTGTCTGTAAATAAAACACATTGCTCCTGTTCTAAATGATATTTTCCTTGCAAGAATTATTAGTAACTTAGTAAGTCATCTAGTTTTTTGTTAGGATTGCCTCATTGCTGCCCCTTCCCCCCTCCATGTTAAAGTGTCCCACTTGATTTATTTAAAAAAAAAAAAAAAGTTTTAGATGTTACAGGTGAGTTCTCATGTTGTTTGAAATGGTGTAAAGTCCAGATACATGACAGAACTCCTGTGAGCAAAACCAATGTGGCCCATGTCCAAGTAGCTATCACAGCATGGCACTCCCAGATATACAGCAGCTGAGAGGGTGATACTCCAGTCATGGCTGTGTTAGTCTAACAGGTGGCTGACAGCCATCCCCAGGTAGTACATGTACAGCCCTCTCGCCTGTAGGGACTTCTCCTTCAATCCATCTTCCTGTTTCACTTTCACTGCTCTCCCTGTGCTATTGGCCGGTGCTGCTCACCCACAGACACCCGAGAACAGCGAGGAGGAGGGAAACGAGGAAGTGCAGTGACTAGTGAGAGAAGCAGCTAGAACTATGAAGGGCTTTGTGTTCAGTCTGGCAGGAGGATCATACACACAGTGAGTACACTGGGTGCCCTCTAGCTGTGTTTTGGGGAGGGGGTGTTTGTGTTGTCACTGTGCCTGCCGGGGATCATACCCACAGGGGTGTTTGTGTTTTCACGGTACTGCTGGCAGAGGGATCATTTATATTCTGGGTGAGTACACTGGGTGCCCACTAGATGTGTTTTGGGGAGGGGGTGTTTGTGTTGTCACTGTGCCTGCTGGGGATAATACCCAGAGTATCCTGGGTGCTTACCAGATGTGTTTTGGGGAGTGGGGTGTTGTGTTATCACTGTCCTGCTGGGGATCCTACAAGAGTACCCTGGGTGCCCACTAGACGTATTTTGGGGAGTGGGGTGTTGTGCTGTCACTGTGCCTGCTGGGGATAATACCCAGAGTACCCTGGGTGCCCACTAGACGTATTTTTGGCAGTGGGGTGTTGTGCTGTCACTGTCATGCTGGGTATAATACCCAGAGTACCCTGGGTGCCCACTAGACGTATTTTGGGGAGTGGGGTGTTGTGTTGTCACTGTCATGCTGGGTATAATACCCAGAGTACCCTGGGTGCCCACTAGACGTATTTTGGGGAGTGGGGTGTTGTGTTGTCACTGTCATGCTGGGTATAATACCCAGAGTACCCTGGGTGCCCACTAGACGTATTTTGGGGAGTGGGGTGTTGTGTTGTCACTGTCATGCTGGGTATAATACCCAGAGTACACTGGGTGCCCATTAAATGTGTTTTGGGGAGTGGGGTGTTGTGTTGTCACTGTCATGCTGGGGATAATACCCAGAGTACACTGGTTGCCCACTAAATGTGTTTTGGGACAGTATGAGGATCTGGCTAGTAGTGTGTTTGAGGAGATACACTTTTTCTTCTTTTTTTTATATATATAATGTTAAAATTACTATATCACTGTCGGTCTGATTGGGAATGATATAAATATTAATGCTATAATGTAATTCCAGACAAGGCAAAGACGGGGTTCTAAATGGGCATTCTATGGCTGAAGCGCTATACTGGCTAAAAATGCTAAACGCAGAGCAGTCACCAAGGAAACCAATGGAATGTTCGTGCTGAGCCCTCCGTTTAGAACGTTACCCCCGCAGTTAGTCTGCATACATAAGTTCACTGTATCTAGATGTGACAGTATGACTTTAACTCTGATTCAGATTTAACAGGATACAGTAATGATGAATAGAATACATTCATGGCTGACCAAAAGGTAGATCATCAGGAGTTGAAGAACTACTACTCTCATTATGTTTTGTCAAACTTTAAAGAGAGTGTTTTTTTTTGTTTTGTTTTTTTAGAGGGAATCTGAATCCTAACATCTATTTTATTCAGATTCCAGAATGTTAGAATAGGATAGATTTTTGTAGAAAATATAATGTACCTGCTAGATTTAAAAAGAATAGACTGAATGATAACAGTACTGAGCCACATAGGAAACCCTAACAATGAGCCAAGTAGAAGCCCTTCATTTTCAATTGGTTATTTAGTGAACTGTGGTGAATGGAAAAATACAAAACCTTGTATTCAGTAAATATATGGTCGCAGAGCAGAAGGAATGACAGCTAATTAGTCAGTGAACTCAAAATCACATGACAACCTAGCCACCACCAGCAGGGACATTCTATGGGGAATATGTATAAAAAGTGGTCCTTTTTACATATTTGCACAGTGTTTCGGAACAGAGCCCATTCTATCCATAACCACTCATATTATTATTGACTACCTAGTACAGTGTTACGTTGTCAAAATGTTGTTTTAAAGTTATTTTGTCATCACTCTGTACTCAATTGGTGGCTCTCCAAAGGTGTGCATAATATGTTCATAGGTTTATCAGCCAATCGGTTTCACACATTATTGACACTATCTTGCAGCTTTACCTGTCACACCCTACAAACCCGTATTTGTCAAATATACGAGATCAGTAAATGTATTATTGCAAATCCTTGGAAGTAACAGTATTCCCCTTTAAAGGGAAAATAAATGTATGGACAGACTTATCATCACTCAGCCAGTGGAGGCTTGTTTATGACCAAATGTAAACATTGCAGTTTTTTGGTGAAATGGCTAAATTTTACTTTACCAGATTGCAGGGACTCCATCAATGCACCAAAACCACTTCATTAAGATGCAATAGTTTTGGTCCTTACATGTATAGGGGTCGGATTGTATGGATGATATTTATTCACTAAGCCTGGAATTATGGAGAATTGAGAAGGGAATTGCAAATTTAGGTCTAATTAACTGAGCTGTAAAAATTAACCTTCCATTAAACCACTAGAAAATTCCAAATCCAAATCTGCCACTTTAGAGAATAATTGCAATGTCTTTCTCAATTTTATATTCTACACTTTTTTTCAGAAAAAAAGGGAATTGAGGGCACACTCAGTGCATTCATTTTTCAGCAGTGGTGCTGGTCTTTTCATCACATAAGTGATAAGTTATCCTATTTTCTGTTTTTGTTGCAATGCATTAACTTGGTGCTCACCAAGTTAAATTGGTAATCCAATCATGGACCCCGGGCTCACTGTTCCTAGAGGGATATCAGCTACATCTCGCTTATGAGGCTCAAAGGAGGTTGAAATGATCGTCCGGGGTTTCTGTATCTCTCGTGTAGAGTGAAATTGCTAGCATTTCGGTTCTGGACTGCCCTTATGGGTGGGATCACTCTGTAATGGCACAAGTGAGCTGAAACTCCTGAGCAAAGATTTACCGATGGGCAAGCTACTGAGTTTCTCTAAGCTTTTGTCTCTTTTCAGAGCTCTCATATTCTTTGTTTCTATCACATAAGTAATGTAAATGTTCTGAAGATGAAAATGTGATTATCAAAAGTGTTAGCTTTACCCTTTAACCAGAGTTCCACTGGCTTCAGATCAGTTGAAGATTGTTTAGTCACTAAAAAAATTAATAAAACCAACATTTCAACATTTAAGCTAAAATAGCTCCAAACAATTCTAAAAATAAACATTTTTTCCAGACTCGCTGTTTCAGTATAATGTGTGTAATTCAGTTTCCAGTTTACCACTATTCAGTGTTTATTGAATCAGCCGCTAGGGGATTGGCACTCAAGTTCATAGTGTATGGGCTACCAAATCTTAGTTTTCCCTGTTTGAAAATTCCAAATTTCAAGATTAATTACAATACAGGGCGATGACAGTTGAGGTCACATAGAGCAAAGCGCATCATAGACCGGTCATCACGTTTATTTCTACCGATGGTGGAGAACTATGGCAGGTACAAGTTGGAAGACTGTTAGGTGGGCAAGGGATTTCCCCCTCCCCCCCCCAAAAAAAAAATCAATACACTTACTTAAAAAAATAAAATAATGTACCTACATGTTAAAATATTAGAAGCCTGTGGGAAAAACATTTGTAATCTCAGTTGTTCTTTAACTGAAATAATTACCTAGGCTTGCATAACTTGCTGAAACCTCATATTTACTGTTACATATTAACAGAATTACTCATTTTGTTTGGTCTGTCAGATAGGTAATGTATCTACATATTTCATAGGATACACAAAAACCACTGTGTATATATACCTTGGGAAAAATAAAACTTCATTCACAAACAGATTTAATCATTTATTGAATATACCAGTGGCCGTAATAAAAAGACACTTTTAAGGATTATTGACTGAAGTGTGAATTGTTAGGAATTCAGTGAACATATTTTCTGTTTGGATTCTGTTTGGAGCCTCGGGTTTGAAATACATTTACGGGATGAGTTATAGAAAGATTCCACCAAAATAACAAACTTTTCTACCACTTTTTCTCTCTCTTCTGGATTTTCTGATGATTTTACCCTTGATTACATCCATGAAAGCAAATGACTAATATAAGAAAAAACTATTTGAATTATTATTTTATTATTATTATTTTGGCTGAATGTGCACGCGCGGCAAGAGCTGCACGCGCATTCAGCCAGTCTCATAGGAAAGCATTTACAATGCTTTCCTATGGACCCTTGCGTGTTCAGTGAGAATCACGCAAGCGCCTCTAGCGGCTGTCAATGAGACAGACACTAGAGGATTTGAGGGCTGGATTAACCCGTTTATAAACATAGCAGTTTCTCTGAAACTGCTATGTTTATAAAAAAAATGGGTTAACCCTAGCTAGACCTGGCACCCAGACCACTTCATTAAGCTGAAGTGGTCTGGGTGCCTAGAGTGGTCCTTTAAGGGGATTCTTATCTCTGTTCCATCCAGTCACCCTTGCCTCCCTCCCTGCTGCTATGATTGATCCTACTTGGGAACATCTCTCTAAGCAGGGACATTGTCCGTCATGACGCAGACACCATGGTTTCACTGCCAACTAATCTACTTCAGAACAATGTGAATTCTATCAGTCTATTTCTATATTCCCCTAAAAAGCTCATCTTGGAATTGCTTGGCAATGAAGTGCAGGAGAACCTCATACTGGTGGGTTCCCCTGCTTTACCCTGTCACTCAGTTGTCTACATAGAAAAAAGATAGTGGAAGTGCACTCAACCCTTCAACAAGGAATCCAGGGTGCTCCAATGTACCCAAATGGACCAAGTATAAGGTTATAAATTGTAGAAAGTAATCCAGGCACTCCAATGAATTCCAAAGTGTAGGCAATTTTATTAGAACCAGGAACTACACAGCAACGTTTCAACCCCTTAGGGTCTTTGTCTACATAGACTGATATGCTGTCAGCACAGTGGTCTGTGCCAGCGACTGATCATTGACAGAAGTTGTCAAATTGTTAACTAGAGTTATCTGAAAATCTCTCTCTATTTGCTGGCAATTTCACAAGTACAATGTAGAGATGATTTATATTTCTATGTCTTTTTGTCTAACGTTGTGTGTAACATAGCAGATGTATACAATATATGATCATATAGAGTATATTTTATTTACCATCAAGAAAGCTGTTATTGGTATGTATTTGTTAGCATAGTTGTTTAGCAGCAGAACATGATTACTATAGGATTGTGCTAATCTTACCTGTGTGGGATAGAACCAGTATATATGTATCAGCCTAATAGATTACAGTATGGTTACGGTCATTATTTAGCCAAATCCCTGCTACTTGTACTCTCTTAGTATCTTGGCATACCAACGCTTTGTGTTTAATCTGATCTTTTTTTTAAATGTTCCACGTGACAAACTGTCTCCATCTCCAACCAAAACATTTATCTATCTATCTCAAGGAGAAGCGCACTCTCTGGAATTTTTACATCAAAATATTCACTACTTTATTAACTCCAACAACATGTAATCACAACATATCAATGTTTCAGTCTCAACAGGAGATTTTTCGCAAGACATATATTTATGTGTTTTTAAAGAAAGCTTTCTTGAGAATAGAAGTCCTACGAGTGCCCATTCCTTCCAAACATTTAATCTATATTTAAGTTCTATTTTGGAGCACAGGGGCATTCATATGAAGCCATTTATTATCACATAGTTGTTTGGCTCCTTTTTAAATCATAATGACAACTGAAATCACCCAAATGGCCCTGATTCAAAGTTTACATACCCTTGAATGTTTGGCCTTGTAACAGACACACAAGGTGACACACACAGGTTAAAATGACAATTAAAGGTAAATTTTTCACGCCTGTGGCTTTTTAAATTGAAATTAGTGTCTGTGTATAAATAGTTAATGAGTTTGTTAGCTCTCATATGGATGTTCTGAGCCATGGGGAGCAGAAAAGAACCTTCAAAAGACCTGCGTAACAAAATAATGGAACTTTAGGATATAAAAAGATATCCAAACCTTGAAAATGCCAGTTAGTACTGTTCATCACTTATTAAGAAGTTGAAAATTTGGGGATCTCTTGATACCAAGCCAAGGTCAGGTAGACCAAGAAAGATTTCAGCCACAACTGCCAGAACTTCGGGATACATAGAAAAACTCCCAGGTAGCTTCAGGAGAAATACAGGCTGCTCTGGAAAAAGATGGTGTGGTTGTTTCAAGGAGCAAAATACGAGAATGCTTGAACAAAAATGAGCTCCAGGGTCGAGTTACCAGTAAGAAGCCTTTACAATTACAATAATACGTACTATATACCGACAACACCTTGACACGCCTCACAGCTTCTGGTACACTGTAATTTGGAGTGACGAGACCAAAATATAGCTTTGTGGTCACAACAAGGCCTATAGTGAAAATAATACCATCCCCACTGTGAAGCATGGTGGTGGCTCACTATTGTTAGGCGGGGAGGTGTGAGCTCTAAAGGCACGTGGAATCTTGTGTAAATTGATGGCAAGATGAATGCAGCATGTTATCTGAAAATACAGGCAGACAATTTGCATTCTACTGCACGAAGGCTGCTCATGGGATGCTCTTGGACTTTCCAGCATGACAATGACCCTAAGCACAAGGCCATGTTGACCCTCCAGTGGTTACAGCAGACAAAAGTGAACGTTCTGGAGTGGTTATCATTGTCTCCTGACTTTAATATCATTGAGCCACTTTGGGGAGACCTCAAACGTGTGGTTCTTGCAAGACGACCAAAGACCAAATGACCTGGAGAGATTTTGCCAAGACGAATGGGCAGCTATACCACCTAAAAGAATTAAGGGCCTCATAGATTACTATTACAAAAGACTGCACGCTGTCATTGACGCTAAAGGGGGCAATACAGTATTAAGAACTAAGGGTATGCAGATTTTTGAAAAGGGGTCATTTAATCTTCTTTTTCTTTGTGGCCATGTTTTATGATTGTGCCATTCTGTTATAACCTACAGTTGAATATGAATCCCATAAGAAATTTAAAAAAAAATGTGTTTTGCCTGCTCACTCATGTCTTCTTTAAAAATGGTACATATATTACCAATTCTCCAAGGGTATGCAAACGATTGAGCACAACTGTGTATATACAATCAAGTGGAAATAATGTGCTATTAGTCACATCATTAAAGTGCAAAGTTCAAATATTTTAACATTTTTCCAGCTGGGAAAATTTGTTGTTAAATGTTCAATAAATGATTATAGCACTTCTAAACCTCAACCAGAGAACTCATTTATAGGAAGTGGTTTTTTTTTTTTTTATCCCTTGAAACCTACTGCTATACTATTGGAAATCCCCTAGTTTCCTTCCCTTGGCATTGCAAGCTACCAGCCTGGTAAATTATAAGACAAAGGGCAAGGTACAGTCCCTAATTAATATCTAGTTCATCAGATTAAGAACGGTTAGTCTTTTATTTTGTTAAGATTTAAATCACAGGTTAACACCTCTTTGTATCAAAACAATCAATGATTGCCATTTGGTTTTTTTTTGTATTTTTTTTTTTTTTAGAGGAATGAGGAAATCTGTGCTAAACACTTTCTTCTTCCATTCTGTTAAAAATAGAGTGTAAAGAGTCTGAAAAAAAGAAGTTTGTGAAGTCGTGACAACTGGTTTATTACATGCCAGGGAGTCTGGGGACAGTGGATTCATTTGCTATAATATTGAGAGCATTTTCTCATTGCTAGAAAAAAGCGTATGTCGGGGGGTGACCTAAAGGATTAAAGCTGCTTTGTCACCTTCTGGTGGTTTTGCATATTTTGGTGACTTTTTTTTAGTGACTTTGCTGCTAACAATGTGGTGACGGTGGGTTGCAGGGAAAAGTGAGTTTGATTAACTTCAAACTGTCTCTTGCAGCTGCCGCCATCTAATTCCACAGAATCCTCTTCAGCTCCTGGTGCTTGATGTCAATGGAGGAGACCGTGGGAGCCTCTATAGACAGTCTTTTTTCACCACAGTAATCACTCGTGACTGCTGAAGGCTTCCCCAAAGCTTGACCTGGGTAGTTCCGCCATTTTGTCAAGTGTAGGAAAAATACATAAGACATTTTTTTATATTTATGAAATACTCATTTTGTTTGGGGAGGAATAGGGGGCGTGGGAGAGAGACACTTTGAAAAGGTATCATGGGAGTTGTAGTTTTTCTTACCACGGATACATTTTTTGTTCATTATTAGCACTTTTCAAACCTTTCACTTCAGTGCACAGACTAGTACAATGATAAAATCACCGCTGAGGTTAACCTTATCAGGGTTTAGAGATTTTCATACAAACATTTCCTTTTGCTGTCTGGCCACCGATACTTCTTTTCTAAGATTAACAATAAGATTTGTTCTTATGTGGGGGTGGGGGAAGCACATCTGGGGATTGATTGAGATATCGGTTACAAGAATAAAATGATACAACAGACACAACACATTTCTCAGGTGCCTTAGGGCATCTGATTCATTGTTGTTATTACCTGCTGATTGTGATTTTCTGTAGCGATACTACACGCGCATGTCGTTGTTGTGAATCATAGTGAGTGCTGACAGTGTGAGGGAGGCAGTAAGTCTCTTCCTATTGGCTGAATACAATTCTATCAGAATGTCTTTACTCTCACAAAAAATGCACATGACGTATTTTGGCATACCTACCTGCCACGTATGTCGCCAAACCCAGGCTGAGAGACTGTTTTTATGTTGCTGTCTGTAGAGAACGAAATTAATACACGTTGGCTTTAGCTGGTCTTAAAACACATCCCTGCATTTTCATTGCCAGATGGATTGTGTCACTTTTTCCTTTTCCAAGCCTAATATAGTTATCGAGAGATATTCAAATACCAGACCTTTAGATATTAGCTGTGTACAACTCCCATTATCCTCTGCCAACACAAAAAAAAAAAAAAAGAAAGTAAAAGGCAGGTGCAATTTGATGTGAGTTTTATTTTCCAAATAGCAGAAAGTCTACTAACACTAAGGCAGTCTCATAATACATTACTGCAACTGGTATTTTTTTTATTTTATTTTAACCAGTTGTGGTAAATAGGAACGAAATTAAATTTCGCTAACAAGAAACTCAATTTTTGTCAAGATGCACCTGTTATATATGTTATACTATGCTGAATCAAAATGTGTCGAGTCAGATGATAATTGCTAAAGTAATTGACTTGTTCTGGCCTTGGTTTTCAGATCTACTTTGTTAGGTAGATGAGTGATTTTGATATCTAAGACCATCGTTTGTGCAGATAATTAGAACCAATCAGGTTAATAAATATTATTTAGTGATTATACAAGTCTGTTCACTGCTAATGCTAACTGCCAGTTTTACGTTGGATGAGTCGTATTGTAATATTAATTAAAGGGTTAACCTTTGTTTGCAATACCACAAAGAGTAGCAAGGTAACAGGCCTCTAGCATTACGGAATTTTACATTATGAAGGTCAATTTCATCCAGTGTAAAACACGCTTTTAAAAACAAATATAGATATATATATATATATATTTCTACAAGATATATATATACAAGATGGAGATAATGCCTTGCGTGTGTGTATCTGTGTTTGTGTATCAATGTGTGTCTGTGTGTATTTGTCCATGTGTATCTGTGTCTGCATGTGTTTATCGGTGTGTGTGTGTGTGTCACAGCTCACAAACACAACTCTGCAAGGATTGGCAAATGTTAGATCGCTAGCTGGCAAAGCATTGTGGGAGTTGAGGATGAGCTGATGGTCTACATTTTCACCACACTTGCGCTACAGGGGGGCCCAGAACATTTTCTTTCACTAGGGCCCTCTGTACATAGTTCCGCCTCTAGAAAGCATGCATGTATTCATGACAGGATATAGATCACTATCATTATAAGCTACTGGGTCACTGACCTGCAACATTAATTATACCGTTTTGGAAAACATGATGCAATAATAAACGTGGTAATCCCCCTCCTCCTGTTAATTTGTTTCATTCAACAGCAAACTATTTATCATTGCATCAGTCACTGGGATAATCAGCTGTTACAGCCTTTAAATTAATGGATGTCAGACTCAGAAGTAAATTTTAAACATCTGTAATATGAAGAAGGAAAGCAGTTGACGAATAAAGGAACAAATACGATTGGAGAGAAATTAACAGCAGGTATCTATATTTCAGGCATGTTCTATTTTACTTCCATATAGAATCTTACCACCACTTACTATAAAGTTCAGTGTGATATTTAAAAAATAAAAAAATAAAAAATGAAACTTCTCTTAATAGAGACCATGTGGCGGTAAGGGAGTAGTCACAATGACAGTTGCATAGTTAAAGAAAGAGTTAAAATGCTCAGGGCAATGAGATCATCGAATGTGATGCAAGACGTTACTAAGTGTCTGTACTAGATGCTGTCATTGAGAATTATGTTTGATCTGTGTGGCACAAAGATGGTGACAAGAGGCTTTAGTGAGATTATCCAGGAAAATTCTTATTGTTGGAATTAACAGCGGTGAGCTCTCACCAAACCAATGGCCCAGCCGTTCCTATCCCACACATAGCTTTTTAATGGCAGCTTTATGCATCTATGAAAACTGTTTATCATGTTGTTGTTTTTCTTATTATTATCTGTAAAGCACCAACAAATTCCATAGCGCTGTACAATAAGTGGACTAACAGACATGTATTTGTAACAAGGTGAGCTGACAGTAACAGAGGGTGTTGAGGGCCCTGTTCAATTGAGCTTACATTCTAGAGTGGCTGTGAAAGAGACCATTCTCTATCTAGAACCCCTAGTACAGTAAGTATTGTTTTGTGAAGAATTTGTGTAGATCTCCTGACATTTCTGGATTATATAGTCATGTTCCACAATACTCGTTCAGAGAAAAGGTAGTGTTTACAATGCTGGTTGGTAACACCTCTGGTGACAGTCACTCAGACGGCCAGTAGAGGTGATTCCTTGTCCAGTGCTGCACAGTGTGCAGCACTGGTGTTCAGCATCTCCACGCTCTGCATGGAGACGCTGAATGTACCCCACAAAGATGCATTGATTCACGTTTTGCCACACGTGCGCAATAGCCTTTCAATGCTTTCCTATGGGAAAGCATTGGATTGGCTGAGATCATCAAAATTGATGATCTCCACCAAGGAGACGAAACTAATTACGGCAACACCAGTGCGGTGTTGGAAAAAAGTGAGCAAAATCTTTTCTTTTTTTTTGAAAATGAAGGGGGGTCGATAACCTTAATAGCCACTTCATAATGTCAGTGTAGTGTTCCTTTAAATGCAACACATCCTATAGCTAAATGTAGTTATTTTTTGGGTTGTGTGAAAATCTGAGAAGTGACCATTTCAGTCACACACAACTTGGTGGTTTTGTGTAGGAGTGCAGACAACTAATAGAGGGGTGGGGGGAATCTGGCATATTGTGACCCAAGAGCCTAAATGTATTCACAGTGTCAGGAGTAACTCAACTGGAAAGTTCAGTGATCTGAAGAGTTGTAAAGGTGTACTCTGTTCAAATACATATCTCGTGTCTTGATCCTAAACTAAAGGGTTTATTTATAGAAAGCAGGAAAGGTTTTGTCACAAGATCAGAGGACTCCCCGTTTTAAAATAGAGGAACCATCCTGCGCAAAAACCTTTATGTATCGTTTTAGATCACCTCCTCCCATTCATAACTCGTGCCTGCACCCAAATTCAGTTCCTGATTTTGATTTCCTGATTTAAGCGAATTGATCGAGCCTGTTGTTCATGATGCAATTTGGAGCAACAATATCATTTAACAAAGAGGATTTCTTTTGTTGAAAAAGCACTTATGTTTAACGTGACTAAACAAGCAAGCAGATAGCAAATTAGCCATAAAAATAAAATGAAATTGTGTAGAATTTCTGTGTTGAGTCAGATGTGTGTTATAATCAGGATAAGACACTATTTTTGCTTTTACTACTGTATCTAGTCTGTCATTACACCAACACAATAGGCAGGATTCGACCGCCCGACTTTTAATACATGCTATTAATAATACATTAAAAACAAAACCACAATATAATGTTTCTAAAGCTTCTGTATTTAAGGGGTCTCTCATTCTGCACAATTGGATCTGACCTGCATCTAAACGTGTAGACTTTGTCAAAATGTCATATGCTGTTTAGTTGAACAGGCTGAATTACGTGGATGATGGTAATTGAATAGACGTCATTGGGAGTCCGATTACAGCTGTCTTTCTGTTATCTCCTAAAGTATTTTAATTTGCTTTAATAAATTGCAGTTATCACTTTGAAAATTGCTGTTGTATATGATAAATCTGTGGTTCAATGATCGTTACAGAATGCTGGGGAAAACCGCGTGACCTATTGATGCTTGCTTTTTTTTTTTCTTTTTAATTCTTTATTTTTGATGTGCTTAAAAGGTACATGCATGCCGGTAAACAGCAATTACTACATCTCAAGGTAGACAGTATATGGCATGTGGAGATATTGCACAGTTTTTGTTTTTTTTAAACATGCTTGCAAGTAACTTTACACAGGTTGTATAAGAAAAGGAAAAGCAATACAAAAGTTATGTCTGTCGATGATATTAGGTATTTGATTAGTCTGAGATATGTACTTATGTCAGTGTGGACTTGAGTCTGGTACAGTTAAATAGGTACTGTCGATAAAGTATTAGGTTGAGTGTATGCGAAGTCAACATGTCTAATGTGGTGGGTAACATTGGGGTCTACAAGCTTGTGTCATTAAACATTTATGTATGCTTAAGTAAGTAAATGTGGACTTTCAAAGGTAGCGGAAACACGTATTAACAACCGCGTCTCTACAGCATTCGCTAAACTAAACAAACAGACAAGCAACCACAGGAGCTGAGTGGGTTCCTGCAATATTAGATATTAATGTTAGGCATCACAATATTAGACATCACAATATGGCTGCGGTGTATGTCAAGGCATATTAGGTGGCAAGTAGTAAACGAGAAGCTGCTGCCCACTGTTGAGTCTATGGGGTTGTAAGAGTCTCTGTGCTGGCATCAGACAGATTTTATAATAATAAAGACCACTGGAGTTGAGCCATCTGCTGTACAGATACATATGTCTGTGTAAGACCATGTTGGAGAGGTGGTTAGGTGAGAGCAGTAACAAAGTCCAAAGATGGCTACCGTGGATGTTAGAGATGTCTGGATCTGGGGCTGTAAGTGGTATCCCAAACGCTGCATGTCTCTTGTTGTGTGTGCCTCTGTGGTGACATAGAGTGCCTGAAGGTTGTCGCTGGAGACTTAAAGTCTGAGTTGGTGGAGTAATGTAAGCCCTCAGTTCTTCGCAGATATTACAGGGTTCCCTTTGCTTAATAGTAGTGCGTCCCCTTCGTGGTTGTGAGGCATTTCTGTAAGCTTGGTGGCTGTCTATGCTGCTTATGCTGTTTAGGCTTGTGGCTTTACCTTGCTGAGCTCTCCCCATCCGGGTTTAACAGCAGGCTCACTGCTGGACTGGCTTTGCAGTTGTGCGGTTTAGTGAGCAGCGCGACTTCTCCCCTCTGGGGCCGTTGGTGTTGGTCTCCACGCTGCCGCCATCTTGGAAGGTAGGTCTTGGGAGGACTGTGCCCCTCAGTCTCCACTCCTCCCGAGCTCTTCGCAGTGGGGAACGGGATAACCCCCCCCCCCCCAGGTCCATAGGGGGCGGGAAGCGGGACCGGCAGGCGTCTCAGGTAGTCAGCGTGTGGCTGCCGCAAGGGGAGACGGGGAAGCGGCCGTCCACCCGCTCCCCTCTCGAGTAGGCCGCAGTCCCCGAAGCTTTATTCAACCCTTTAGGGTCTCAAAACTCCCGATCTCGGAGTCTGCCACCTTGACCACCACCGTGTGCGCGTCTGTTTGGCTCTTTGCAGGTATCATAGCTGCAGGATTTGCCTAAGAGGCCAGACTTCTCTGGAGCCTCTCCAGCATGCGACCGGTCAGCATGGCGCTCCGGCCCCGCCCCCGATTCTTGCTTTTTAAGTGTATTTTTCACGGTCTGTGTTTGCTTGATGATTCAAATCGGAAAAATATTGCATGGAAGATGTCGATATGTGTCTGTTTCAATGTAAATATTAGTTAAAGTGGAAGAGGAAAAGGTTTTTCTAATCTGAAACTTAAAATTCTCAAACTTACTTTTAAAGAAGACAGACAAAAAAGGTCAAAATTACAAAACCACTCTGTGAATGAAGATATATTAAATTTTGATAACTTACTCTCCATCCCAACAATCTCATCCCCACTATGGATTACTGCTGCTCTCCATTACTGGTTAACAATTCAAGGAACAAATCGAAAATCCATGTACCTAGAAATTTAAAAAATCTAAACTGTTTTTTGTTTTTTTCATCACATGCATGACAAATGGTGGGACTAACCTGCTGGACAAATTTCTCAACAGCTTCCAAACTTTTATACGTGTTAAATATTATTGATTTCATTTACTGCGTTAGACTTGGCTACTTGCACTGATGGCATGTTCCGTGTATCCACTACCCCTTTTGTAAAGTAGTTTTTAGAACATTATCTCTGTAAGTATGATCTCTGTAGGAATTGTACACCTACCCTATCTTATGTGAAGCGAAGCATTATATGTGCAAACGTACATGTGAAACTCCCATGAAAAGGTGCTATTTAATCGGACACCGTAGGCACCAAGACCACTTAATTTTTTTAAACCTGCAGCTGGTCACATTGGCAATGTTTTCATTGCAGCATTTAAGTGCCTCTATTGGTTGTCGCTCAGACATCAAATAGAGGCTTTCTATTTCTATCAAGACCACCTGGTTGGCACTGACCTCCCAATGCTTTCCTAAAATACCCTTTTTTCTTCCCTGCCGATGGGGGACAGTCACCTAAATGGCCACCAGGGAACTATAGCGTTAGGAATAGAGATTTGTATTGCTAACACTAACATTTTTTGCAGCCTGCTTTCCAGTGTTGCATAGTTACAAGTATTTTATTTTAGGGATTACCTCGGTGACAAATTGTCCAGAAAATCATTTTGAATTCACTTTTTGCATTAAAGAGGTCTTACTTATAGATTCTTTGTGTGTGAAATTATATTCTTTTTTTTTTTTTTATTCTTTTTTTTTTACTTAACCGTGAACTGTAGTCACTGTAAAATCGTATTGCAATTTCAGGCCAAAATTGTAGCGTTGTAAAATTTATCCAACAATATAGTCACACAATGATTATTTTAGCCTGAATTTGGTTTCTAGTTCCCCAGTATTCACTGTTTAGTGAATAAACCCCATGTGTGAACTATGTTTGATAGGTTGTGTCCGTACATAAGCCTAAGCAGAAATAACCTCTCAGAGACAGTGTGCCCCTGTGTGCATTTTCTGATTTGTCCACGGGAATGTAATATTAAATAGGGGACAGTCTTGTTGAACATCGAAAGTATTACTTCAGAGCTTTAACAGGAGCCTAAAATTCAACAGAGCTTTAGCCATTTTTCTTAAAAGCTTTCCCTCCAGCTTGTGTCACTTTACCCTACACCCTCTAGATTAGAATGTAAGATCAGTTGAGCAGGACCCTCTACACCCTCTGTTCCTGTGCGTCCAACTCGTCTGTTAGTCCACCTATTGTAAAGCACTGTGCAATCTGTTAGCACTTTATAACTAATAATTATAGCAGACTAACATCAGGAGTCAAATCATGTATGTCCTGATGTTTTACTTTTACCATAACTGTTGCTTTTACATATTTCTTAAGCCATCAGATCACTGAATAATGATGTACTTCTTATCCCCAGACAGCCATAATAATCAGATGAAGGACAGCCGCATGATGTCATCTCTGTGATGTGTCCACTCGGCGTGTCAAGCAGGCTTAGTGGATGTGCAGCCATGTTGAAAGGTGAGAGCTCTCTCTCTTTGGTTGTCCTTAGTTTAATGTTATGAATAGGACATGAAAATAAATCCTCAATTTTTTTTTTGAATAAAAGATTAAATGTGATTAGGAATAACATAACAAAGGCCTCAATTTAATATTGTTGGATAAGTTTTGGTGTTTTTTCATATGATTTTTCAACATATTAAAATATCAAAACATATATATTAATTTATCATAGATATTTTTCACAAAATTAAATGATTTTAAAAGTTTATACAAAAATATGAAACCTTTTGGTAAGTTTATCCACGTATATTAAAACAAGGCCATAGTTAGAAAAATAAAATTATGTTGCGTGCACACTGGCACCCCATTTCCGTACCCAAAATCCTTGTTTGTCAGAGAGAGAGCAGTAAAAGATCAGAGTAAATATTGCACACCCTGTTTTTATGTCTTTCTTTTTCTGATATAATATTTCCTTTTTGTTTTGTATTTTATTGACATACAGGTGAGCTTTTTAGGTATGATTCATAGCTGATTAACTTTAGGCTCCTGTTAAAGCTTTCATTCTGCTGTGTCATTGGAAATAACACTAATCGCCTGTTCATTTGCAGAGATTGTGATCACAGAACAGCCAGCATGTGCCCGTGTCCCCAAAGACTTCCCCATCACGCTGTGTTGCCGAGCTCAAGGCCCTCCATCTTTACATTATCAGTGGCTACAGCTATCAGAGGTACTTGTTCCACCCACACACTTAGGGGAATCTGGCAAAGTCTCTGTATTCATAGAACTCTGATCTGATAAGAACTCTCAAACTGAACATTATTGTAACAGAAGCATATTAAAAAAAATATTTACTAGTAATATTAAATGTAGCAGATGTAAGATGTATATTATCTTGTCTACATTTTAAAGCAGAACTGTAATTTCTAGACTAAATTTATTTTTAGTGTTAAGCTCTGTCTGCACTAGTTTCAATATGCACTTTGTAAGACTAATTAAATTAACACAGAGAATAAATATGTGTCTACTTCTATTGATGGTGTTCATTTATGGTGCCCTGCCCACAACTGGCACTGTACTCAGGTAGCCAGCCAACGTTGTGATCAAGGATCAATGAATTGGCAGGGAGAGAACACTATGGGAAATGCTGTGCAGACATTGCACCCATGTTTCCTTTAAGTAAGGGGCATAAATGTGAGGGCAGCACGACAGTGGTTTGGAAGATAACAAGGACTCTAGGCAGAATTCAGACTTTAGAGGGGAGGTAAGACAGAAACTAATTTCAATGTGATGCCCTGGATGTGCCTTGCAGGAGCTGGACTGTGATATCACATTTTGTTTTGTTTTTTTCTAAACGTCTAGAAAACTTTATATTGGGCAAAAAAATTAATGCAACATATATGTGGCCCTTTACTGAATGGCGACATTTCCAGACGTGCCATAGTTACGCGTTCAGGGTATTCTTTAAAGGGAACCATGACTATTTTTAAATGATACCATTGAATATAACATTGAAAATCACCTTCAACTTGAGGGAAGCTTTTTTTTTTTTTTATGAGCTGGTCCTTTTTGTTTCTTTGGCGTTTGTTAGGCGGCTCATTATTTAATTTTAAAATTCACTCCGTGACCCATTCTTCAGTTGTGATGTATCCCATATTAAAGAAACACTTAAGTGTTTCTCTGCCCCTTCATTTTTACACTCACCTTGCCTCTACCGACATCAGCGCTAAGGGGGAAACTACTGATCATGCATGGGCCTTAACCCCTTAGGGACATAACTTCAGAAATAAAAGGGAATCATGACGGAATATTTCCGTCATGTGTCCTTAAGGGGTTAAGCCTTACTAATAGAAAGCATTAATTTAATTCTTTTCTAGGGGGATTTGAAAATGCTGATAGTCCTCATGAAAGGGTGAGGACGTCCAGCGTCGTTTAACTAAGCCAAACTCCGTGAAACCGCAGGAAGCGCCTCTAGTGGCTGTCTAGTACACAGACACTCTAGGCAGACTTAACTCTGCTATATAAACATTGCAGGTTCTCAGAGATATGTTGAAAATGATTTACCTTTCCAACCTTTGGATAGCATGGGGATCTAATCTAGATCGAAATCTGTTGTTTGATAAATTATACTCCCTTAGTTTGATGGTATAGGCACTGAAGTACATTTTTATATATTTATTCATTATTGCTTTGTTTTTTTTTGTGATGTAGCGTTTTGTTATATCTGAATGACATACTAGTTTAACTTTTGGCACCCACTTTTGGCATCGATTTACTGTGTTGAAATAAACTAAATAGGTGAATCCAAAATGTAAATACTCAACAACCTCTTTAGACTCATTGGTGGGGGCACTGCTGAAATCCCTTTCTTGGCATAGTGTGCACAGGGGCTACATCTCAATTGCCATTTAAAGGGATACTATAAGTGCCAGAAATACAAAGCTGTATTCCTGACACTATAACCTCTCTGCCGCCCCCCACCTCCCCAGTGAATAAAGGGTTAAAAACCCTTTTACTTACTGCCTCCTCCGACTTTTCATGACGAGCGTGTGCTAATGTGCATGCGCAGCAAATGCCGCGCCTGCCTTAGACCTCCCCATAGGAAACCATTAAATAAATGCTTTCCTATGAGGAAAAATCTGACACTGGATGTCCTTGTGCAGAGCGTGAGGGCGCCCAGCGTCAGCAGAAAACGCCTCCAGTGGCTGTCTGGGAGACAGCCACTGGAGACAGACTTATAGCTGCAATGTAAACATTGCAATTTCTCTGGAACTGCAATTTTTAACATTTCAGCACTAAGGGCAATAGGGACATTGCAGCAAGACCAGTTCAATTAGCTGAAGTGATCACGGCATCTATAGTGCCTCTTTAGTTTAAGGAAACGCGTATATTCAAATAACCCAAAGACATACCTGGGGACAAATTAAATCAGCAACTCTGAGGTTCAGTTTCTTTAATATCTGCCCTCTGAGAACTTTCATTTTTATGTACAAAGTTGCAACAGCATGAGTAAAGAAACCCCAGTGCTTGCAGTTTATGTCAGCATCAACGTGCCTCTCTAGTGAGCAATCTACTCCGTTACAGGACACATAAAAACAAACAAGTGTTGCTCAATCTCGGTGCTTCCTTATTCTATTACTCAATAAAGCACTCCGCCTCTCAGCTCAGCTCTATTGAAGGTGTATTTGCGTGTCAGTAGAAAAACAAGATACTTGTTCAGTGCTTTCAGTTTCTTTTGTTTACAAGAGTCATAACAGGCTGGGTGGTAATCAGAACTTTTGGACCCAGTATCGTAGAAGGACTCGTGGCAAATGAAGTTTGTTATCAGCATGTTCATATTTGTATATCATGTCTGTGCTTTGTGTCAGGAATCAGTCGTATAGTTCTCACCTATCCGCTTCATTCCCTCTCCTGCCTTCTCTACATCTTTCATGTGGACTTGACCTCAGTTCATGACATATAATTGAAAAATGTACGGCTTGTTAACTGAAAGTAGCTGAGTGTTGGTGGAAACTCCTCTAGTGGTTATCACGAAAACAGCCAAGAGAAGGGTTTTAGCCCTTCAAAGTAAACATTGCTGTTCCATTTAAAATGGCAATGTTTTATATTGAAGGATTGAAGCTAGAAGACCACTTCATTCACACCACATCACTGAGATAAAATGGTCTGGGTGTTTCCCGTGGTCCTTCAAAGGGGAACATTCACTTCCTTTGGTGAATAAAATATTCAAACTCATATATAACTTCTGTTAACCTTTTTTCATGATACAGTCTGTTGGTTTAAATTTTAGTTAAAGATTTAATTAAAGATTTAGCCGATGAAATCACATTCCGGTTCAATCTGTGCTAAGCCATGGCAAGCATTGCGAGGAGGAGAAATAAATACAGTGTCTGCTTTCTCTATGCTGATTTCAAAGTGAAAAAAAGATTTTACATCAATGATTGACAGGGAACTAAGATAGAGGCACCCAGTTTCAGGATAAAGTGGTGTGAATTTCTACATTTAATTTTTTTTTTTACATATACATATTTGGTAAATATAGAGATAAATGATCATAATTTTTCTACAAAATGCAATATCTGTTAGATACGCTAACTGGGATAAAATTAAGTTTTTCATTTTGCATTTGTGGAATTTGTATAATTAATTTTAGGAGTACATTTATTCCTAAAAAAAAGTTGGTCCTTTTCCTATGTTTTTGTTGTCATTGTTTCTTATTTCTGTGACTAGACAATCCTCAAGGCATAGGCAACCTTCGGCACCCCAGATGTTTTGGACTACACCACCCACGATGCTTTGCCAGCATTACGGTGTAAGAGGATTATGGGGGATGTAGTCCAAAACATCTGGAGTGCCGAATGTTGCCTATCCCTGTGACCTAGACTATATAGTACTTTCACTATCTAGCTTGCTGTGTGCATAGCCTTGTTATCTCTAACAAATAATTACACCAGAGTATCACGTGTTTTTCAAACGCTTTGCTTATTGTTAACTGCCAGATCTTTATTTGGTTTTAATTCTTTTGCCTTTATTTCTTACTTGGGAAGTTGGACAGAGCCATTTTGTTGTGTTTTTTTTTCTGTTTTTAGAAAAACATAAACTATTTTATGAAAGCAAATTGCCCCTTTTCAATACAAACTATGTTCTTATTTTTGCTTTATTACCCCTTTTGATAACCCCCCCCATCCCCCCTCCCACCCAAGTGATAATGTTTGCTTTCTATCTCTCTGTACATGTGAATGTGTTTCTCCTGTTTTTGGAAATCTTTTGTCTCACGTTGAATGATATATACTTTTTTTTTTTTTTTACTGTTTTGTTTATTTTCACTTTTTTCTGTTGCAGTCTTACAAAGGAACTCCGACACATTTTTGCACAACAGAAAAGGTAATGATTAGCTATTGGTTGTACTATTAGGCTATTTATTTTCACTACTTCCCGTTTTCTATTTTAATTTACATGCCCTACTGGGCACATGTGCATAGCCTGTGTGTAAATTAACGCTTGCCGTACCATATGCGTTCGTACTGCACTAATGAAGGTATGCCTGAGAATGTTTGTTTGTTTCTGTCCGACATTTCTGTATACAGTGACAAAGACACCCAGAACAACACACAACTGCAGTTTAGGTAAGTACAATTGTAATTACCTTGGCTGCAGTGTTGTGTGACAGAAACAAGGAAAAGATTTCTTCCAGAGAATTGTCAGTTTCAGTTTAGTGGCAATTTTATAAAGGTAAAATTTTACTTCTTTTTTGTTTTTTCGATTAAGGCTCTTTGTATTTCTAAGTTTAGGGTTCAACTCCTTACATTACAAAGATTATATGAAAATATGACATTGGGGCCAAAGTTAAATAAGTTGTTTTATTTAATTCAGTAAATGTTAAAAGAGTTATTTTTTTTGTTAAATGTTAAAAGAGATATTTAGTGCTAGATTAGTTAACATGGATAAAATAAACAACTAGTTGAACCAATCCGCACTGAAATCTACAAGTTTGAGCCATGAATGAATGATTTCCTTATGTTGCAGCAAAACTGGACACCAGTTTAAAGGAACAACCATGTATTCCTGACCCTATAGTGTTAAATCCACCATTTATGTGGCTTAACCCCCTTTAGCCCCCTTAAAAGGAATTAAAACGCGCCTTTTTCCAGCTCTGCACAGATCTGTCGGTGCTGGCTCCGCTCCCGATTCGCCTCATTGATGACATCATTAGAATTACCGCCAATCCAATGCTTTCCCATGGGGAAAGCATTGGAATGGATAAAATCGGCAAGGGGGCGGGGCCAAACACCATTTTGGCCAATCAGCACCTCCTCATAGAGATCCATTGTATCAATGCATCTCTATGAGGAAAATTCAGTGTCGTCATGCAGAGCATGGAGACGCTGACTGGCAGTGCTGCCTACTGTGCAGCACTGCTTCAGGAAGCACCTCCAGTGCCCATCTAAAGGGGTAGCCACCTGTAGGTGTCCCTAGGGGCAATGTAAACAATGCCTTTTCTGTGAAAAGGCAGTGTTTGCATTAAATTGTCAGAAGGCAATGATTATACTCACCAGAACAACTACATTAATCTATAGTTCTTCTGGTGACTATAGTGTCCCTTTAAGTTGGGTTTTTCAGCTTTTTGCGATACAAGGATATGCGAAAGGTTTGACTTGACAGACCTGAGTCCTTTATTTTAGTTTACATTAGGTAGGACTTCAAGAACCATTGTTCTGCTGCGTCCATAACTTGTAATGTATGTAGTGTGGGACTCACCTAGTAAGTGAGCTTCACCTTACACTAGGCATGTCCGTGAACATCTGTTACTGATACATTTATTTATTTATTCATTTATTCATTTAAAAAAAAATCTACTATGGTCTTTTTCCTATTTTTCTGATTTTAGATGGATTATATGTTCATAATCTTATTTTTGTGTGTGTGTTTTTCTAAAAATCATATAGTAAGTAGAACCATAAAGTTTTTCAGGTGCAGTTTAGGATAGTATCAGTCACACACCTTGTTGAATGAAAGCACTTTAAAATATAAAAAGAAATTTAAAAATGTATCTCCTTAACTCCTTAAGGACCAATCAGATTTCATGCCATCATCACACTTTTGTCCCTAAATTCCATATGCCTGTATGGAATGTCGTGCTTAATTAGCATTTGCAACACTGTACAGTCCTGACATCAATACATTAATTAGGTGTTTCATTTTGATAGAGATTTTTTTTTTTGATAGAGATACTTATAGGAAGACTGAAATGAAATGTTTTAATATCGTAATATAGACTGATTAGCCACAACATTAAAACCACAGACAGTTAAAGTGACTAATATATTATATTGATTATATATCATTACAATCGTACATATCAAGGGGTGGGATATATTAGGCAGCAAGTGAACAGTCAGTTCTTAAATTTCATGTGTTGCAAGCAAGAAAAACGGGCAAGTGAAAAAGATTTTAGTGACTTTGACAAGGGCCAAATAGTGATGGCTAGACAATTGGATCAGAGCATCTCCAAAATGGCAAGTCCTGTGGGGTGTTTCCGGTATGCAGTGCTTAGTATCTACTTTACAAATGGTGCAAGCAGACTGGTCAGATTGAACATAATGACCCCTGTCCACCATCAAAAACACCTGCAATGGGGGTGTGAGTATCAAAACTGGACCACGGAGCAATGGAAGAAGGTTGCCTGGTCTGATGAATCATGTTTTCCTTTAGATTAGGTGGATAGCCTGACCCATGTGCGTCATTTACCTGGGGACAAGATGGCAGCAGGATGCACAATGGGAAGAAAGAAGGTTGGAGGAGGCACTGTTATGCTCTGCTCAGTGTTCTGCTGGGAGCATTCATGGCATTCATGTGGATGTTACTTTGACATGTACCACCTACCTAGAAATTGTTGCAGACCATGTACATCCTTTCATAGCAATGGTGTTCCCTGTTGGCCGTGACCTCTTTAAGCAAGATTATGCACTCTGCAACACTGTAAAAATTGTTTAGAAATGGTTTGAGGAACGACAAAAAGTTCAAGGTATTGCCTTGGCCTCCAAGTTCCTCAGATCTCAATCCAATAGAGCATCTGTGGGATGTGCTGGGACAACAAATCCCATCCATGGAGGCTCCACCTCGCAGCTTGCAGGACTTAAAGGATCTGTTGCGCATGTCTTGGTGCCAGATACGACAGGACACGTTCAGAGGTCTTGTGGAATCCATGCCTTGACGCATCAGAGCTGTTTTGGCAGAATGAGGAAGACCTACACGATATTAGTCTGGTGGTTTCAATGTTATGGCTGATTATTGTAATCTTCATGTTATAATATATCATCTCATTTTTTATTTTTTATATTGACTTGACTTTTCTTTTTTCTTTTCTTTTTTTTAAGAAATCACCCGCCTAACTTTCCTACACCCCCTTTCTGACAGCCATTTAAATGCAAATTTATGCAACTTTCTGCTGCTTTTTAAAATCATGTGTTCCTTCTGCTGCAGCGTTTTCTGTCAGGCAATTTTGAAACACAACAAATAGTTCCAAAATAGTAAAGATTGGATCCGATGCCTGAGAATCCAAACAAAGGTGCATTAAAATGGCTGTCAAAGAGAGGATGTATGAACGGCAGGCAATCATTTATTCTAAAATATCAATATACATAAAGAAAAACCAGACTAAAAAAATTTCATTTCTCCTTTAAGAAGTTATGATGGGAAAAACAACATGTTTGTGGGAGCGTAGAAACTCTAAATTCTGTGCTTATACCGGAGTAATATTTTTGCATATTTCTCCACTTGAATAAATGATCTACAATGTGTCTACCCTTAACGTGTTAGTAATTCTAGTGACAGTAACATTTCTTCTCCTTAGGCACCCTACGAGGAGATTCCAGGTGCCAATAAGCCAGACTTGCACATTGTAGCCAAACAAACCCATCTGTATATCTGCCGAGTAAATGATGAACACCACAAGACTTTGTACAGCCGGTGGGCTAAAGTCAAAGTTCTAAAGGATGTTCCTAGAGGTAAGCATTCTTATGACTACATATGTTTTGAGCTGCTTTTATATGACAAAGGCTTTGCGTTTGGAACTTACAGTGTATATATAATGTTATTTGTCTGTGAATGGTACAGTAATTGCCTACAAAGAGGGACAATCCTAACTTTTGGCCCAAATCCATCTTTCCTTATTTTTTATTCTAATGTCCCTCTTTTCTATGAGCTCCATATTGTTGGTGTGTCTGAGTGTATAACAGAGCTCCACAGCAATGATACTCCCAGTAATGTGTCTGAGTGTATAACAGAGCTCCACAGCAATAATACTCCCAGTAATGTGTCTGAGTGTATAACAGAGCTCCACAGCAATAATACTCCCAGTAATGTGTCTGAGTGTATTACAGAACTCCACAGCAATAATACTCCCAGTAATGTGTCTGAGTGTATAACAGAGCTCCACAGCAATAATACTCCCAATAATGTGTCTGAGTGTATAACAGAGCTCCACAGTAATAATACTCCCAGTAATGTGTCTGAGTGTATTACAGAGCTCCACAGCAATAATACTCCCAGTAATGTGTCTGAGTGTATAACAGATCTCCACAGTAATAATAATGTACCTGAGTGTATTACAGAGCTCCACAGCAATAATACTCCCAGTAATGTGTCTGAGTGTATAACAGAGCTCCACAGCAATAATACTCACAGTAATGTGTCTGAGTGTATAACAGAGCTCCACAACAATAATACTCCCAGTAAGGTGTCTGAGTGTATAACAGAGCTCCACAGCAATACTTCTCCCAGTAATGTGTCTGAATGTATAACAGAGCTCCACAGCAATAATACTCCCAGTAATGTGTCTGAGTGTATAACAGCTCCACAGCAATAATACTCCCAGTAATGTGTCTGAGTGTATAACAGAGCTCCACACCAATAATAATCCAGTAATGTGTCTCAGTGTATAACAGAGCTCCACAGCAATAATACTCCCAGTAATGTGTCTGAGTGTATTACAGAGCTCCACAGCAATAATACTCCCAGTAATGTGTCTGAGTGTATAACAGATCTCCACAGTAATACTCCCAGTAATGTGTCTGAGTGTATAACAGAGCTCCACAGCAATAATACTCCCAGTAATGTGTCTGAGTGTATAACAGAGCTCCACAGCAATACTTCTCCCAGTAATGTGTCTGAATGTATAACAGAGCTCCACAGCAATAATACTCCCAGTAATGTGTCTGAGTGTATAACAGAGCTCCACAGCAATAATACTCCCAGTAATGTGTCTGAGTGTATAACAGAGCTCCACACCAATAATACTCCCAGTAATGTGTCTGAGTGTATAACACAGCTCCACAGCAGTAATGTGTCTTTAAAATACAATAAATGTGTTCAAAAATCGTTCTGTGTAAATGAGATACATTTTAGTTGCATAAATTGTTATTAGTAAGTCACCTAAAATTTCTCATAACAGCCCTGTGGTCACACCCCTACTCACTCCCCTAAAATTAAAGTGTCCCTCTTCGTCCATTGCAAATGTTGGGAGGTATGCAATTGTCACACCTCTGGAAATAACACCATATAATAAAACATTTAGAGTAACTCACAATGTGTGCTAACCTTTTTATGCATTTAAATTTATATTAACCACTTCACTACCAGAATTGACTATAAATATATGTTCGTTTTACATGTTTTGCAAAATGAAATGTAGTCTATAAAGCCTCACATACCCTCATTTTTACGCTATCAATGATTAACAGCATGTTAGGAACTGGTTTAAATCCTGCAAGTCTGCTAAAATGTCACCTCACCCCCTAATTCCAAACAGTAAAGCAAGTTTCAGTGGGTTCCTTTAATCATGTGGGGTGAATGGACGCTACCATTTCACTATTAAGATTACATTAGCATTGTGGAGATTGATAAACATTGCTGTAGATGTTTTAAATACCTTTATTTTAGAAATGTATAATTTAATTGTATTTACTTAATGTGGGCATTATGCATACACACATCCTATGCATTAATCCTATGCATTTTATTTTTTAAGGTTGTCTGTAAAGCGATTTATACACAGAATTGCAGTGTTATGTGATTACATGCTAGCTATGTATTTTCAAAAAGTGACAGAGAAAATGGCAAAGCTTATTACAGTGACTGAGAGGTACTGACAGAGAGCAAAGATGGATACTTGCAGTTTCAGATAGAGGTAGATGTCATGGTGTGACGTTCTACATTTAATTTTATATTCAGAACTCACAAACATATTTGTTAAACATGATATAAATATATGTAATAATGATTATATTAAAAATCATGGGAAATAAATTTCACTTTAAATTATGCACAAGATTAACTTTGTTGAGCTGTTTAGAACTGTGTATATAATGACCTATATCACAAAATCAAGCTCTCTCTTTATAATGCATATCATATTGTGGAACTGTGAGAAAATGAAGGAACATTCCGTGCACCATAACAACTTAATTGGAATTACGTTGCTATGTTGCAAGGAGTTCCCCTGTCCAAGGCTTCTTGTTCCAAGTGTTAGAGAGAAGTGGAAGGGCGGAGCTAAATGGTGCTGAATTTAAGACTTTGGGGTTAAACCATGAGAGGTTTATCCCCTAAAACCAAGCCGACGCCAGTGACCCCTGATACCATTACAACATCATTCCGATGAAGTTCATATGGTGCCCGGGTGTTACTTTAAGTTTTGCACCTAATGTAATTGATTCTCTCAGCGCTATTCACAAAAGTTAGAATTGAAAGTGAATTTCAAAGGCCAAAAATAGCCCAACAGAATTGAATTCCCAGCAATTCTCATTCTAGTGAGTAGCCCGTGACCAGTAAGAGCGCATTCTCTAAATTTTGAAGTCCCAATGAGACTATACCAAATCCGTGACATGTTGAAAAATAGTCACATAGTATTCCGTAGATCAGGGCTCAAAAGTTCTACTAGCCATTGCCGAGAGATAATTTGTCCCTGGTTAGGGTCCCGTGCACGCTCCAGACCTACAGTGGCAAGTAACCTTTAAGACATGACTAGTAGCATAGGGCTTAAAATATTATTATTACTATTGGTATTTATATAGCGCCAGCTTATTCCGCAGCGCTTTACAATAAAAGGGGAATTTACCAAATGAGACAATAACAAAATGTAACAGGAATAGGTAGTTGAGGACCCTGCTCAAACGAGCTTACAGTCTAGAGGATGAGCATATTAAACCCATAGAGCAGAGTATGAAGCTTGCATGTTGGTAAAATACTATGTTACAATATCTTTTCTTTGTTTTTCTGTTTTTCAGGTTTGGTACCACCTGGTTGGGAAGGAGACCCCATCATAGTCACTCAGCCAGCCTCTGCGGAGGTGATGTCCCAGTGTCCAGTACAGTTTCAGTGCCATGCTCTGGGCATTCCAGCTCCCCAATACCAATGGTACCACAACGGGTTACCAACTAAAAAGAGTAGGCTTATACAGGTAAGATAAGCAGTATATCTGTATATCAGATTAATTTGTATATTAACACTGTGATAATCCATCCTTGCAATCAAATAGTGGAGTAGACAGCAGCATGTCACTTCCCAGATTTTTTATATTCTATTTTATAAACATTGTTAATGGAAGAGGATAAACAAACAGGTTTTTTTTTGTTCTCCTCATTTACATTCTGTGCCCTGGCTGTGCCTGGATTGAAGGAGTGTGCGTATATATATTTTAAAGAATAATAATAAAAAAAAAAACTAATGGAAATGGATATATAAAATATCACAAAAACAGCAGGAAACGAACTACTCACTCCACCATGGCAGTGGATGTGCTCCAATTTCTCGTTGCCAGTAGCAATGTTCTTACAATTCTGAAAATTCACACAAAATAACAATACCGCACTCAAAAGAACTTAATGAGAAAAAAAGATATCAGAAGAACGAGTATCCTTGTAGTGCAGTTTTTATCTTTTTACAATATTACGAACATGGAATGCCCACGATAATAAGCTGTAGTGATAAGAATTGTAGCTAAAACGTCTCTGCTGTAGGCATCAAAAAAGAGGGAGGGGGAGAAAAAAACAAAAAACTAAATGAAACTGGCAACTGAACTGGTTTAACGTTATTACTGGATGCCTTCTCAGCATTAACATTTCTTATACCATGATGTCATTTACAGAGAGGTTCCAATTAAGGGCATCTAACCTATGGTATATCTTTTGATATATATTTTTAAATTCGCTATCTGGTAATTACATTATTTTGTATTTGAGGAGGAAGGGAGTACGAGATGCACTTCCTGACTCTTTCACTTCCTCCAAATCATTGAGCAAGCAACAGATAATGGGATTTGTTTTCGGAAGAGTAAGGATATCTGAGAATTCGGTGTCTGCAGGAGCCTGATATTTAAATCTGGCACTGCCTATAACAGAATATTCTAAATAAGCTAAATGTGTATATATAACTATATACGTATATAAAAATGTGTAAATATATAGGCAAAGCTCACCAACTCCCTGAACTAATGAAAATTGATTTCTATATCACCATATAAGTCCTGACTATAGTGAAAGGTGAATAACAAAATTTTGGATTAAAATGCTTTTTGTGTCATTTAAAGGGACATGGCTTAATGTAGTTGTTCTAGTGTCTACATTAAAAGGCCTACAGGGACAGACTGTAAACATTGAATTTTCAGAGAAAACATTGCTGCCTAGTAAACCTCTAGTGACAGTCACTCAGACAGCCTCTAGAGGTGTTTTCTGGATTCAGCATGGTGACGCTGAACACTCTCAATAAAGATGCATTGATTTAATGCATCTCTATGAGGAGATGCTGATTGGCATAGTGCATCATTATGCTGCGGATTCGCAATAGCCTCCCAATGCATTCCTATGGGAAACCATAGAATTGACTGAGGTCATCAAATTTTAAGATCTTAGCCACAGAGGTGGAGCAAGGCCGAGCCATGCCTTTTTAACAGGAGGCAAGGGTAGGCAGTCAACTAAAATGTGGTTTTACAACTATAATGTCAAGAATACGTTTGTATTCCTGACACTATGGTGTTCCTTTAAGGGATTAATAGTACTGTTAAAGAATGTTTGTTTGTTTTGAACATTTACTCTCCCTCTGTTCCAGGGTTGTGGTTGTTAAATTTCAGCATATACTGGACTTAGGTTCAGTAGCAAGATTCATAACTTAAGCCATCATTTTTGTTTTCTTGTGGGTACATAGATCCTGGTGTTTTAGTGTAATACAGAAGAAAATGGTGGATTTCCCTGTTAAATGTCAACATGTGGCTCCATTATAGTGGTTTCCTAAATGTTCTATCACATCCAGGAACTTTCATGTTGTACTAGAACGTGTCTTGGAGAAGGAGCAAGGAAGAGGTCTATAGCACGGCACAATCTCCTGCTTCTTCTACCTCTAGAGTAGACCAAGAAGAAATAATTTAGCAGCAGTTGGTATAGTGCTGCCAGGCCTCTCGTCCTCTGAAACATCTTTATCTATGCCGTTTGTCCTGCAAATATTAATTGTTTGGTTAAATGATAATTAGATAGATCCTTACATTTTAATGGGATTATGGTCCTCAAGGTAAAAGCAAAAGATAATTAAAGGAACACTATAGGATCAGAAACACAAACATGTATTCCTGTTAAAAACATTATCTAGCCCCCTGATCCCCCTAGATATACTAACATCGGACCTTTATTCCAGTCTGCTGGTACTGGTTCTGCCCCTGATCTGCCATCTTGGCTGATATCATCAGAAGTGATGATCTCAGCCAATCACAATCCTTTCCCAGAGGAAAGCATTGGATTGGCTGAGATAGTCAATTCTGATGATCTCAGCCAAGGAGACGGGCCGGGGGTCTCTATGAGGAAAGTTCAGTGTCTCCATGCAGAGGGTGGAGTCACTGAATGTCAGTCTCAATAGAAATATGTATGATTGTTGATCATTGCTTATCTTGAATGAAAACATTTTTTAACCTGTACTGCGGAGGCACAGAACACTAATAGTTATGTATTTGTGGTGTCAGATAAAGGCAGTGAAGCCTGGAGACTGTGGCAGTTACCTGTGTTGTGTGTCCAACGTCCGAGGAGAAAGATGGAGTGCACCTGTGGATCTCACGATAGGTAAATCGGTCAACAAATTATAACTAGAACAAATTAAACATTTTTGTAAAAAGACTGAACATTGCAAGGACTCCAAGAACACTTAAAGAGCGCGATCTGTGTTGTTCTTTAAAATATGGAAGATCTTACGCCATGTAAACAAGGCTCCAGTAAAATAAAAATACCTTATATCTGCTTACAAAGGTGATGTGCGAATACTCAAAAATGTCACTACCATTCTAAGACACATTATCACATCGATACATCTCTTCAATTAAAATACAACTATACTTAAAATTTCAATGTTTTGCCTTGTTTATTTTGTTACATTTAAGGAAACTTGTTATTTATTTATTTTTTAATGATATTGTTTTTTTGTTTAATTTTTTTAGTAAATTTCACTTTTTATCTGGCTGAGCAGCCATTTTGGGTTTAGCATATATATTGTTATCTGACCATCTGCCGTAGCAGGCAAGTTAGGTTGAGTGGCAGCTGGTCAGATAACTTTAGAATCTGATCCAACGTGGCTGCCCGCTAGATTAAAAAAGTAACATTTTGTAAAAAACAAAAAATCTATATACATCACTAGAAATATCCAGAAGTTTCATAAAATGCAATAAACTTTAAAAAAAAAAAATGAGAACTGAAAATTTGATCAGTTGTCCTTTAAGTCTTAGTGAAGCTATTAACACACCGTTAGGGATGCTATGCTGGACCTGCTGAGACCTTCTCTGGAGGATACGTTATAAGGCTTCTTATAGTTCTCATGATGTATATTATACTATTTCATATATTCACATTCTGCATAGCAGGTATTTTTATTAATCTTGCTTAATATATGTTGCTCTTTGTTACATATTAATATAGGTTGAAACAGGACTCCAGTCCATCGATTCCATCCTTTAATTTCTATTTCTTAATTTGTGTTTCAGGGCAGGATATCATTCTTCAAGCATTGCCCACAGGTAATTGATTGTCTAAGCTCTCGTTATCATGAAGTGAGAATTGAAAGTGAAGAAAAGCTGACTTAGAACTTTTTTTCCAGCTTAGGCTATGTTGACCTTAAATTTGAAATTTACTTTGAATTCTTTATTTAGTAAATAACCCTGCCGATGTATAATTTGGAATGGAAAGTTCATATAATATCATAATATTTAGAACTACACTAGGTGAGCTAGAACACTCACAACACAGTCATCTGCACTAAGCTGTATACTGTCTGGGGCACAGCTTTATTCAGTCGATACCTGAGGTCAGTAACCAGAAGGTTGCTTATGTCAAAACTCACATGATTCTCAGATTTACATTGGCTAGTGGATTGCTGAGAATACTTGGAGATGTAGTTCAGGAAAATCTGGGAAGCTGTAACACCTGTTCTACACAGCAATTGTGTGAGGGCTGGGCTAAAAAAATATAATTCCAGTCAATAAACTAAATTATTTATTTATGAAAAGAACACCGATTTATTAGCATACCTAAGATACAGGACAGGACTTGTACGTAGTTCCCAGCATTTACCTTGAAGAATGGGATCTTCTCTGTCCTCATATAATGCCCTTGTTTTTGTCTTTGTAGTTAAAAGGCCAAAAGAAACGTACTTTGGTAAGTACCTTTTTTTTTAGAAGGAGGTCTCTGGATTCATGAAGGCAAATGGGGTGCTTTTTCTGGGACTTAAATGCTGTCATTGTATTTATTGGTCCTTTATATTATTAAAATGTACTTCATGAGAACAGTTAAGTGAAACCGTTCATATTATTATATTAAGTGTTGACTGATCATTAAGTAATTATGCTGCCTATTCATATTGTGTACTGTCAAACACGTTCTAAAGGACAACAAGTCCAAAACTGTAGAATATCTCCAAAACTGTAGAATATATCCATATGGGATGTCTTATTATAGAGGTAGTTAATTGTAGAAAATAATCCAGGCACTCCAACGAATTCCAAAGTAGGCAATTTTATTAGAACCAGAAGCTACACAGCAACGTTTCAACCCCTCAAGGTCTTTATCAAGCTACTGAAGCACATACAAAATATCCAATATATAAGTGCATATAATAATTAAGTGAATTAACATGTGATACATTAATTAATTATTCTCATCATTAATTAATAACAATAAATATCTGAATAAAACATAATTGTCTCACCAATCCTCATCTCAAATATTAGGGATGTCAAGAAGCATAGATAAACATAGCCAATGAAATCTAGATTTGTTAGTCAATCAAGTTCAATTACTTAATAATGCACAAGATGTGTCTAATGATTTTTAATAAATGGAACAATTTGGATATAATAGGGAACATCAAAGGACCCTAGGTACACTTCCGGGTCCCATCACATGAGATAAATCATGTGACCATCTCCAGCCAATAGCAACCAGCTCCTAGTGCCGATCACATGATCAAGTAAAATCCAATCATGAACGTGCACGAATGCACGTGCGTGGACCGGTATATCACTATCGCGCATGCGCCGAATCGCGCATGTGCAATACCAAATATAACCAAAACACAATCGCGCACAAGTGCGCATGCGCAAACGGATGTCTCCGTACCGCGCATGCGCAACATCATATATAAAAATACATCGAAAAAATTAAGACAAGATGTTGATCATAATGCGCATGCGCAAAACGGCACATCTAACATATCAGCAAAATAGAAGAAAATGCTTCCAAATTCTCATAAAAAGACACAACTTGTAAATTCATATGTAATAACATTATCAATAGATAGTATATTAAGCCAATCTTAATCCTAATCATAATGTAATGAGCACTAACATTTAAATGCATTATAAAATGGCTAATTTAGCTACTTCAGAATGACAAACCCCATATTAAATAATATACATAATATATACAATATATATATAATCTAAAATTCATAGAGCATTATTATATATAATATATTCATTATTTACACATGATAGTAGATCAATGTCAATCAACAGATTATATTTCCATAATGTGGTTATCCTAATATGATTATACAAAAATATTGTAATACAAAAGAATACTACAGTGAATAGTAACATCAAATGACATAATTATATTACATCATATACATATCCTAACAAAGATATATAAAAAATATATAGTGAATAAAATAAACATAATAATGATAAAAAAATATATACATACAATAATAATATCAAATAATGTAAATACTATTAATAATAAAGGGTCTCCTCGTGTGACTCACACTGAAGGACCAAATTTAAATATTATACAATTATGAAAAAGTCACTGTCTATGTGACTAAATAATATAAAATATAAAGTGATAAATAATTAGTGATGTAATTATAAAGTAAGAAAAATAATAATGGAACAATTGACATAATGTCATAGGATATTATTGTTCTTGCAAGAGATTTAATAGTCACTTAAGCTAAGAATTTTCATGAGGAAAAATAGATAAATTTTTAATTATTTAACTTCATTTATTCAAAATTATTCTGATTTAATACTAATAGATTTTAATTCTTATCTATTAAACTAACATGATGACAGAGAATTCAATAGTGTTAGATTTAATGTAAAACTAAACGATAATATTGACAGTTATTATGTATATTACTATATCTTTATAAAAAAATAATTCAATATAATATATCTGTCAATAATATAGCAAGCGACAAAAAACACCAAGATTTAGTTCTAATTAACCTCCTGCAATCTGTTCAACTACCAATAATTATATAATGAAAAACATTTGAGAGACAAATAAGAAACATGTGCTCAATAACGTGTTAACCAGCACAGCCCACACAGATAATAATCTGTGAAGATAATCTGTAAAACATAACAAAAATCAAAAATTAATAATAAAAAATAAATAAATAGTTAAAAAACCACAAAAACTAAACTTGAATTTAGATAGACTTAAGTTTAAATAAACTGTTTCAGGTCATATTCTTGATTGAGTCCCCTAGGTGTCAGGGATCCTAACTCTCTAATCCAATATGCTTCTCTAAATAGTAATCTTTTTATTCGATCCCCTCGTCTTGAACTTTCTTCTACATGTTCAATGATTTGAAATTTAAAGGGACACTGTAGTCACTATAACCACTTTGTCTCTTTGAATTGGTTATAGTGCCTGGAGTACCCTGGCACTGTCCCTCCATTCAGTGTTGCACCATGTTTGTGCAGTATGCCACAAAATAAGAGTCCCTGGCCACCCACAGTCCGGCCCCTTCTGTATGTGTAGCTAAGGCAGAGATTACACACTTCCTTGTTGTCATACCCATTCATACCGTCAGTTGGAGCTCTGACAGGTTAAAAGCAGTCAGCTGACACTCTCAGCCAATCACAGCTGCCCATTGCTGCTCAGGGTAATACTTCCTTATTAGCCAAAGCAGCACAGAGGGGATGGAGTGCTGGGGTCTCTTGTTTAGCATTAAAACATTACAACATTAAAAACTGTTTAATGCTGAAAGAAATGATGGCACCAGGGGACTCCATACACTATAACCAGTTTAAAGAGATGAAGCAGATACAGTGCCTACGGTGTCCCTTTAAGTTGAGTTATATTATGATTTGCTTCTACAAAATGCATTGGAATAGGCAATTCAAGCATTTTTGTCCTAATTGTAGATTCGTGTTTTGAAAATCTTTCTTTAATTTTTTGTGTTGTTTGACCTACATAGATTAAACCACAAGGACATTTTAGAATATAAATTACATATGTCGTATCACATGTGACAAATTGTTTGATCACATATTTATTCCCCCTATGTGGGTGAGTAAATGTCGAACCTTTAATCATAGCGTTACAACAAATACAATTTAAACATGGAAAACTTCCATTTCTCTTTGAAGTTAGTTTAGATAGAGGAGGTAGCTGAGCTTTGACTAATTTATCTCTCAATGAGGGGGCACGTCTCTGAACCATAAGGGGTTTATTTGCAAATTCCACAATATTTGGATGACATTTTGATAGTATATGCCAATGTTTGTCAAGTATGTGTTTTAAATCAGAAGATAGCGTACTATACCTAGAAATAATCTTAATTCTATCTTCTATTTTAACTTGTTACTGGGACCTGTCCTGTGGAGCACCCTGGATTCCTGGATGAAGGGTTGAGTGCACTTCCATTATTTCTTTTTATCATAGAGGTAGACAACCTTTAGCACTCCAGATGTTGTGGACTACATCTACCATAATTCCTAGGTTGACTACTCCTGGTTTATAAAATCCGGACTAGTGGTGGTCACAGGTGGTTGTTTTAATATTAAGAGATTTAGTTTCTAAAATGCAACTTATTTTCATTAATTATATATTAAGTCAACTTTTTTATTTTTCCACAAATGTTTCGTTGTCCTGTTTTTAGCAGTCTGTCCTAATTAATAGCATGTAGGCTATACCTAACTGCAGGTAACATTTCCTTCTCAAAAGAGAAAACGTCCTCATTGGAACCGCCAAGAACACATGGGATGGGCAACAGCTTAACACATAGAAACATTGTGACCAGAAGTAAATTCTGTTTTAGATTGTGGGTCTCACATTAGTATGAAATCTGGGGATCTGCTTTGGAGATATTGAATTTAAAGCTGTACTTACCTTTCATTGTTGGACAGCTGGATACCAAATTAGAAACGTGATAGACATGTGCAATTCGTTTCGGTCCGAATTTAAATTCAGACAAATTTCGGCAATTCGGACATTTGGATGCTTCCGAAGTGACGAATTTCGGAAGTGCAGAAATGTTTTGGATTTCTGAAAAGTGGCAAAACAGGAGAGGGAGGGAAAATTAAGGGAATGATGACAGGAATCTAACCCTAACCCCAGCCCTAACCCCTAACGCAAGTGGGGTTAGGTTAGGGGTAGGGCTAGATTAGGGTTTGTGGTAGGGTTAGGGGTAGGGTTGGGGTTAGCAATAGGGTTGGGGGTTAGGGGTAGGGTTAGGGTTAGGGGTAGGATTAGGCTTAGGAAATTGCCAAAGTCACGAATTTCAGATTACCGAAGTCCCAAATTGCTGAAATCCCGAAATTCGGAAGTGCTGAACCGAACCAAATTTTTTGCCCATGCACATCCCTAAAACGTGACATTTTTTGTACTTGATAATATTCCCAAACAAGAATAATGTAAGTTACCGTGCAACTAAAAAGATAGCATAATCCAGAACAAATATCACTTTGCCTTTCCAATCCAGTCCCTGTGTCTATCCCTGAATGAGATATAGGAGAAGGCACCAAGTTCTGTTTTACTGGGTTATTCACTAACATGTGAATTGTCCTGGATTCAAAATTAATGTCAACATTTTAAGTCAATTTGGAATTGTTTTTCTAGTTTATTTACTTTGTCCTAGTATGTGAAATTCACTTTGAATTCACTTTAAGTTACCTTCCATTTGCTTCATCATAAATTGTTCCACACTAAAAACTGTGAAGAATTAAAAAGGAAATTGCAGACTTATTAGTAAATAAATCTAACCAGTATCTAGACTTTGATGGTTTTCAATTAGAACTGCAGACTCATAACAAATGACTTTTTGGTTTTAGAGTATATTAATGTATATTTGGTATTTAAATTGACATAGCACAAAATATTTAGTATCTGCCACAAAATCTGTATCAGGAAAGTATAAAAAAAATGTTTCTTGACAGCTGTTGGGAAGGTGGCGTTACTGATCGGCAATAATGGTTACTTGAATCACCCCAACCTCCTGGCACCAATGGTGGATGTTAGCGAGCTGTCCGTACTTCTGAGAAAGATAGGATTCTGTGTAGTATCCCTGGTGGATCTGACACGTGAAGAGATGCTCAGAGCTGTCAATCAGTTCCTGGATCTCCTGGACAAAGGAGTGTATGGTAAGCCTGTACCCATAAAACTGCATTCTTTTTTCACAAATTCCCCAAATGACTGCATTTTTCAGTTCACTCATGCTGTGTGACCACTAACAATCAATAAACTATCAATGCTTTAGATTTTTGTATTTCTACAAGGTTATTCACTAAAGTGAGAATTCAAGGTGAATTACAAGTGAATTTCAAATTTAAGGTAAAGATAGCCCAAAATGAAAAATTATGTGAATTGACTATGCTTTCAGATCAGCAACCTGGCCTTAAATTTTGAATTTATTTTGAATTCTCACTATAATAACCAGGCTACAGTTTTTATTACCTAAAATTACATTAGTTCTCTCGAAATGTCAGGCATATTCTTCTTTTAGAAGTTAAACCAAACAAATAATCAGATACCTAAGGGAACACCACTTAGGATCTGTGCACCGGTAAAGACACTCCAGCTGTGTCTGCAGGGCTTAACCCTATAATATATGAATTGATGGAAACAAAAAAAATTAAGTCACTCAAACCACAACAAAAGAGGTGAATGAAAGCTGGAACGTAGATATGTATATTGTTTAAATAACTGTTAAAGGACCACTCTAGGCACCCAGACCACTTCAGCTTAATGAAGTGGTCTGGGTGCCAGGTCCAGCTAGGGTTAACCCATTTTTTCATAATTATAGCAGTTTCAGAGAAACTGCTATAATTATGAATGGGTTAAGCCTTCCCCCTAATCCTCTAGTGGCTGTCTCATTGGCAGCCACTAGAGGCGCTTGCGTGCTTCTCACTGTGATTTTCACAGTGAGAGCACGCAAGCGTCCATAGGAAAGCATTGTAAATGCTTTCCTATGCGACGGGCTGAATGCGCGCGCAGCTCTTGCCGCGCGTGCGCATTCAGCCCAGGAGGAGGAACGGAGGAGGAGAGAAGGAGGAAAGCTCTCCGCCCAGCGCTGGAAAAAGGTAAGTTTTTAACCCTTTCCCCCTTCCAGAGCCGGGCGGGAGGGGGTCCCTGAGGGTGGGGGCACCCTCAGGGCACTATAGTGCCAGGAAAACGAGTATGTTTTCCTGGCACTATAGTGGTCCTTTAAGTTTAGCTGGACCAGCACTAAATGTACATATATACACACACATGTGTCTCAAAACTAGAAACAAAGTAAGAAAATGAATAGCCTTACTTCTCCACCAACTCATAAAGGGAGTATAGGGTCATCCAGTAAATTGCTTAAACTAACGGTAGCTTTATTAGACTGCTTGTTTTAACCCAGGATTTGCCCTGTCCCCAATCTAGATTAACGGAAATAAACCAGGGTGAGAGTAAATACCTTATTAATGGGGGGTGTCCAAGACCAATAGACACAATATCTAAGGAGTAATACACAGTCCTAAAAAGGTTAATTAGAAAGTTTGTAGGACAGTTAGATAAAAAGCCTCTCTCCCTGGTAAGCTAGCTAGATAGTTAGTAGAGACAGAATAAAAAACGTGAGAAAATAATTAAATCAGTGAAAACGCTGCATGTCCATATTAAATAGACATCCCAAGTGAATAGGTAATAGGTGCCCAAGAGCCACTCAGAACATAACGCCTGTCGCGCGTTTCGGTGCACTAGCGCATGCACCTTCGTCATATAGTCACCAAAACAACTTTAGCTTACCAAAGCAGTTTTGGTGTATTGTTCATGTCTCTGAAGATTCATTGCTGAATTCTCTGCCATTTAGGAGTTAAATTACTTATGTTTCTGTTTATGCAATCCTTGCCACACCTCCCCTGGCTGTGACTCACACCACTTGCATGAAAACAAAAAGGTTTCATTTTCAATCAGATGTTCACTTGTTTTCAGCTGCAGGGTTAAAACTAGAGGGACCTGGCACCCAGACAACTTCATTGAGCTGAAGTGATCTGGGTGCCTATAGTGGTCCTTTAATCACGCACAGGAGACTCTTGCAGGGTCTAGCAAGCTATTAACAGAGCAGAGATAATACATTTTAAATTAAACAGAATTTGTAATAAAGGAAGTGTAAAGATGACTTTTTACAGAAAGTTTTAGCAAGGCTGTGTAAGTCAATGCAGAGTGGCGTGACTAGGGCCACATAAACAAAGTGATTTAACTCCTAAATGGCAGATAATTGAACAATGAGACTGCAAGGGCGTGATGTATACACCAAAACTGCTTCATTAAGCTAAAGTTGTTTTGGTGACTAGTGTCCCTTTAATGTGTGTGTTATCAGCGAATGATGCAAATAGGATGCAGTAGCTATGTTTCCACTTACAATGTACTGCACAATTTATTGCTGTCTGGTATTATAAAATTCTGTGAAAATAATAGTGGTTTTATATTCATGTTTCTATTAAGCTACATATCATCATCATCATCATCATTTTGTAGGGAAAACGTTTGTCCAAAGATTGTGTGCTACAGTTGATGCAAATATAAACCCCTTCCAGGAACTTTTTACATCATCAGCTAATTATACAGAGCATTGGCCAGATAGCTAGCACTGAGCAACCTTCGTGTTGTTCAAGGTCAAATGACTGTGTGCTAAGACTAGCTTGAATCTACAAAACAGGTTTAAAGGGCTAAACTGGGAATTTCACATAATTATAGACATTTTCTGAAATTAGTATTGTTTCTTTCCATTATAAAAAGAGGGTCTGTTACTTTTCAGTATTTCATAAAAATATATTCTTTATGAAATACCGATCATGGCTGCTTTGGAATTTCACTGAATTTGCAACGGAAGCCAAAGATACCAAAAAATGACTTTGTTTTATGGACAAGCCTGAGGTTTACCAAAGGTATTTGGAGTTATAGAGAGAGGTTTTATGGAGTAATAGGAGGAGTTATAGAGAGAGGTTATATGGAGTAAAAGGAGGAGTTATAGAGAGGTTATATGGAGTAATAGGAGGAGTTATAGAGAGAGGTTATATGGAGTAATAGGAGGAGGTTAAGGGAGCGGTTATATGGAGTAAGAGGGGAGTTATAGAGAGAGGTTATATGGAGTAATAGGAGGAGTTATAGAGAGAGGTTATATGGAGTAAAAGGAGGAGTTATAGAGAGGTTATATGGAGTAATAGGAGGAGTTATAGAGAGAGGTTATATGGAGTAAAAGGAGGAGTTATAGAGAGGTTATATGGAGTAATAGGAGGAGTTATAGAGAGAGGTTATATGGAGTAATAGGAGGAGTTATAGAGAGAGGTTATATGGAGCAATAGGAGGAGTTATAGGGAGAGGTTATATGGAGTAATAGGAGGAGTTATAGGGAGAGGTTATATGGAGTAATAGGAGGAGTTATAGGGAGAGGTTATATGGAGTAATAGGGGGAGTTATAGAGAGAGGTTATATGGAGTAATAGGAGGAGTTATAGAGAGAGGTTATATGGAGTAATAGGAGGTGTTTAGGGAGAGGTTATATGGAGTAATAGGAGGAGTTATAGAGAGAGGTTATATGGAGTAATAGGAGGAGTTATAGAGAGAGGTTATATGGAGTAATAGGAGGAGTTATAGAGAGAGGTTCTATGGAGTAATAGGAGGAGTTATACAGAGAGGTTATATGGAGTAATAGGAGGAGTTATAGAGAGAGGTTATATGGAGTAATAGGAGGTGTTTAGGGAGAGGTTATATGGAGTAATAGGAGGAGTTATAGAGAGACGTTATATGGAGTAATAGGAGGAGTTAAAAGTAGAGGTTATATGGAGTAATATGAGGAGTTATAGGGAGAGGTTCTATGGAGTAATAGGATGAGTTATAGAGAGAGGATATATGGAGTAATAGGAGGAGTTATAGAGAGAGGTTATATGTAGTACTTTGAGGAGTTAAAGAGAGAGGTTATGTGGAGTAATTGGAGGAGTTATAGGGAGAGGTTATAGGGAGTAATAGAAGGAATTATAGGTAGCTTATATGGAGTTATAGTGAGCGGTTATATGGAGTAATAGGAGGAGTTATAGGGAGAGGTTATACAGAGTTATAGGGTGAGATTACAGGCCAGAAGGTCATGCCCAATGTTAAACTAGCAAAGGCACTGCACAAATCCTGCATGCTGCCTGTTGTAATCTGTAGAACAATGGTGTTAGACTGCGTACAATAACACATGTAGACAAGTGGCCGGGGGGCAGTAGTCCCCCTTGCCAGCCTGCCCCTTTAATAAATTCTGTTGAGCAATGAGATAATCTACAATGGTGGAATAATAGAAATTAGAGGAATTACACAATACTGCTACACAGAGCCATAGCAACATTAGTGACATAAATAAACATTATATATCGTCATCCTTCCTAATCTATTTGAAACACAATAACTGTTCTACTCACTAAACAAGGAGTTATAGTGCATTGTTTTCTATACATCACAATTCTCTACAGTGCATAGACCCCATAATGTGAAAGTTCTCATACCCATAAATGGACACTCTGGACCACTAAGGCGTTTTAGTTTGCTGAAATGTTTTCTGAGTGTGTGTCCATTTAAAAAAAAATCATTTTACAAAAAGTGCAGATTTCAATATAAATTGGCACTTTTCTAAATCAACTGGTCCCGTTACTTGGTTTGCTTAGCTCAGTGGAGCTAAACTCCAGAGGCAGCAATTGCCCAGAGCACCTGCCGTGGAAAGACTTCTCACTGAGCTGCAGTGGGAAGTCTGTGATTGGACAGCCACAGAAAGTTTGGCACAAGAGAACTGTACCCCCAATGATAAATAGCGTAATTAAATGGATGCATGTTTTGTAGTGTCCCTTTAAGACCATTTTCATTTTCTACTTGTGTTTTTTCTTGCACAGGTTTGTTTTATTATGCTGGTCATGGATATGAACGCTCTGGAAGAAATTACATGGTGCCAGTCGACGCACCTCAACCCTACAGACCTGAGAATTGCATCAGTGTTCAGAAGATTCTGCAGCAGATGCAGGACAGGAAGACCGCGCTGAATGTGGTCCTTTTAGATACTTGTAGGAAATGGTATGTTGTGCTCTTATTTTAGACATTGGTTGCTCAAACACTTCTAGGTTTTGTATGGATACTGTAGATGTAGGTCATGGGAATGATGGTCTACAAAAAGAGATGTAGTTCACCATGAGATGCAGAATGAGGGGCCATCAATGTAGATTTTATAAAAGATGGAGAATGAAGGCCTACCAGTGGGAATACAGTTTATTCAGGAAAGGAGTCGTTGGGCTACCAGTTGAGATGTTTAATAAAGATTTTCATTATGAGATGGACACCAAAACTTAATAATCCATAAGGTTCACTGCTTATCTTAGTTACAATAAAAATCTCAAATATTAAATTGGACATCAATACAAAAAGACTGGTTGGTGACCACGTGACACAAACATACAATCAAACAAAAATATAAACCTAAGCCTAATCAAACCGAGGATAAATTGATTATAGCCATGCTATGTTGCTAGGTACAAGGAGTATATCGGAAATTTTACGTTAACCTTTGTTTCTTGATGTGGGAGCATGTATTGTAATTTGTATCTAAAAGATAAGTAGTGTCACACACTAACCCACCTGGAACCCTGTGACAGCAGATGGTAGTAGGTAGATCTTCCTTGTTACGTAATGTATGGAACCATTGTCCTTCACTATTTGATATGAGGGGTTTTATCACTTGCAGAGCGTTGATGGGGAGGAGGGGGGGTACAAACTGTACAAGCATTGACAATTTGCCATTTATATTCTCTCTATCCTGTCCAGAGACTTAATAAATTGGGAAAACTGGACCTTGGTTCAATCAGCATTAACAGACTAATTAAGAAATCTGTCACACATAGGTTATGAAACTTGGGAGTTTGTTAGTATATACATTTAGGTCATATGGCTTCAGATTTGCCTGATACACTAGAGAAATCCCAGTGAAGTCTGATATTTTCTTTCTCTAATAAACTGGTCTATGTATTTTTTTTTAGGTACAACTCTGACTGTGCTCTGTCTAAAGTCACGCCTCAGAAGCCATTGGGCAACACAGTCTATGGATATGCCACGTAAGTCCTGCAACATATCAGCTGGTGGTGGGTTGATCTACTAATCATGGCCAAATGATAGAAATATATCAATAATATAGTTTCATAAATTTGGTAATTACCATAATCCATAGCATGAAGGACTTTCTCTCTGAGTTAATGTTAATCTTAGTGAAATGAGATCTGAAATCAGTCTGATGTTGAGTATTTTTGGGCAGTTTATTTTCACTGATTCTAATTCACCCTGAACCTATGTTTAATGGTTTGAATTCCAGCTCTGATCTCCTGTATTGGATTTTTCCCTACATTCAGAAAGTCCAAAGTTCCACAATTATGTTAGGAGAGTGTCTGAAGGGATTTTAAGGTCAAGGGAAGTATTGCAAATGTTTGGAATACTTTATAATCTACTATTTAGGACTTAAATATTTTTTGATACTTGTCTACACAAGTTATTTACATATATATATTTATATATTTATTACTTAAACACATTGCTCTGGATTTTATTGTCATGAAACTGTGATTCACTAATATACATCAAGTAATCTGAGTACTCGTGAAAGAGAAGGCGATGAGAAACATGAGTGACAAAGAGATTGTTCCTTCCTGGGAGGTACATAATTGATCGATTTAAATGTTCTACAAATAAAAGTCAAGCTTTGTAAATTTCGAAAAGAATAGTTTGGCCTTTGTGTATAATCTGAGACATATCTTCTTCTGCTCAGGAGTGAGAATGCAGAAGCCTATGAGGTTCAGGATGGTGACTTCAGCTCTGGAATCTTCATGACTTATCTGAAGAAGCATATAATGGACGATAAGAAGGTGACCCACATGCTGGAAGCCGTTCTAGAAGGTAGTTAGTGTGGCATAAAGGGTGCAATTCACTGAATCACATAATACAGGGCTCAACAAATCCCAAGCGCCTAGGAATTTGGTCTTGGTGTCTGGGATATGTGATCCCGGCGGGCGGGAGGCCAGCTGAGGAATTAGAGAGTCGGGCGGCAAGTTAGGTGCTCGTGGAGGCGGGTGGCTAGCTGCGCAAATTGCTGCCGGGCGGTGAGGGAGCTGTGATGTCTCTGCTTCCCCACCCTCGCACTCCACTTAGTGAGACAGGGACCGGAATATCTTAGAGCCCTGTGCTCTGTCTACCATGTCTGGCTAAAGCTGAGCCACAACAGGAGGCATGCTTTTAGCACCAGGATATCCCAGTTTTCTTATAAACTCAAACAGTTTTACAGTTACAGGGTTATTCACTAAAGTCCAAATGTTGGACTGCAAAATCTGGACATTGTTGATGGAGTTCACAACGGTTTGTGTAAATCATGCCCCAAAGGGTTGGACGCCCTAATTAATTTTAAAATAGGGGGTGGATATGCCATTGTCCCTCCCCCAAATAGTAGCATGCCGATCCAGCCAGGTTGCGAGGGGTCCCCTAGCCAACTCCCTAAAATAATTTAAAGGTCTTACTTACCCCCCTTACCTTAATAATACTGAGGATAGGGCCAATAAATCTAAAACCTTGTAAAAAAAATATATACTTTCCATCAGATGTCTTGTCTCTTCTACTTTTGAGGAAAGCCCTTATATAGGCTTTCCCATGCTATAACCGCTATCGCAAAGTATGGGAAGATTTCCCCCGCTTTGTAATATGACCAAGAGCACTCTGATTGGTTGGCTAATAACCCAACTAATCAGAGCGCTCTGACAGCCAAGTCTCAAGAGAAGTGAGACTAACAAAGGAATTTTACAGAATCCATCAGACCGACCTATTTCTGACTGCATTGGCAATTCGCAGATTTACAAAAGCCAAGTATGGTCAGGATTCAGTTGGGATTTGTCCATTCAACAAAATCCAGCATTTGGTGAATAACCCTGTTACTGTGACGGTTGTCCCCAGAGACACTTGGTCTATATCCTCTACAATGAGCTGTACTGAGTACGGTGCTTTGAAAGTCCCTTTAATATGTACAGCTGATATTGGTATTACATAAGGAAAGTTTTATGTTTTCTTGGCATTGAGCTGAGGACTGTGTATTGTGATCACTTGGCTCAAGCTCAGACTGGGACAATGCCAGGATTTGACTTGTTTTTCTTATCTAGCCTCCCATACCTTGGGTGCTTTTCAAGGCACTTGTGATTTCACAAGGTCAGCAATGAAGATAATAAGGCAAAGAATTGGTTGCCAGGAAGTGGGAAAAGTCTGTTGTTGTTTTTTTAACTTGGCATGACAATTGTATTAGTGGTGTTTAATTTGCTGCAGGACATGTATACAGTTCAGGTAAAGATCACTGAATAAAGGTCGTATAGGAATAAAATAGGTAGATATGGCAACTGGGACACCCATTTTTAAATTGAATACACACGTAAAGTGAACTATACGTGGTCTGATTTTACAGTTAACCTGTTTTCTGATCCTTTTACAGACATTGGGGATGATCCCTTGGTAAAAGGAAAGCAAGTGATGGAAATAAGACACACCTTGAAAGAGAGTCGTTCTTTGACTGACAAGGTCTGCCCCTCGAGAAACATGCGTCTGAACAGTATGGAATGGGAGCAGCACAGAAGTAAGGGCATAGTGGTCTCTAGTGTCCAAAGGCAGAACTGCAGTTTCCACCAGCACTTGTTTTCCAGTCTTTCTTTATATTTCTGACGTCCTGTATGTATACACAAAGGTTGTGAAATAGTGTCTCTCATGTTAGTAATTTCCAGAATTTACATTTTTCCTTCTAGAACCCCCTTCTTAAATGTTCTTCTATGCTACTATAGTTAAAACTCCTCTTCTTTCTCCTGTTTGCCGTATATTTGCAGATCGTCTTTCAAAATCTGTAAAATCCACCAAGTGTTTGTCCTGTGTTACGTTTAGTTATGGCAATGACATATCGATTCCATACTGACCTATGTCTTATATATGCATTCTGCTTTTGAGTCAACTGAGAGAATTCAGCATTAGAAAACTAGTTTGTCATTCACTGATTTTAAATATATAATAATTTTTATTTTTGCTTGTTTTCCAGACTTACCCAGACAGAAGGTAAAGTTCTCATGTGGTGTCGAGGCAGAACTGAGGTTCCAGCCTGTCTTCTCAAACCTCATCCATGCTTTTGCAAAACTGACATACACTCCTGCTCACTTGAAAGACATGAGAGTCCATCTCTACAACCCTGTAAGTTGTTATGGCATTTGGCCTACCCGTACTCACACATAAACAATGTTTGTGGATGCTAAATACAGGGTTATTTACTGACGTCAAAAATTAAAGGGACACTATAGTCACCCAGACCACTTCAGCTCAATGAAGTGGTCTGGGTGCAATGTCCCTCAGGTTTTAACCCTTCGGATGCAAACATAGCAGTTTCAGAGAAACTGCCATGTTTACATTTGGGGTTAAGCCAGCTTCTAGTGGCTGTCTTCCGGACAGCCACTAGAGGCGGATCTGCAACCCTGGAGGCATATTATGCCTCCATCGCGCAGAGCGTCCATAGGAAAGCATTAAAAAATGCTTTCCTATTGACAGCTTAAATGCGCTCACGGCACCTGCCACGCATGCGCATTCAGCTCCGCTGACATCGGCAGAGGGAGCTGACGTCAGCGGGGTAGGAGAGGTCACCGGGCCGAGGGAGCCCGGCGCTGGAACAAGGTAAGCTGCTGAAGGGGAGTGCCAGACGCCATCACACCTGACGAACTACCTCACTACATGAGGCGCCTTGTTGCTGCCGTCATGCCACCAACGCATGCCAAAACATTTAACATGGGATATACCGCCTACCATCCTCAGGCAGAGCAGCCCCAAACATGGTCCGTGATGTAATTGTCCGCTGCGCCACCTCCCAAGACAAAAGAAGCCTGATGACGGCACTCCGGGGCAAGACGCCTTTAACATTTGAAGGCGCACAACTCACCGTTTATCAAGACCTCACCAGATCCACGCTACAATGGCGAAGATCGCTGAACCCGTTCACCAGCGCCCTCAGAGAAGCAGGATTAGAGTATCACTGGAGATCTCCCAGGTTCCTTGTGGTCACGCACAAAGAACTGTTCATAAACTCTCCACACTAGCGAAGTTCCCGGCATTCTGGAGGGCACTGGGCCTCCCCACACCCACGCAAGGATACCACCCAAAGACCCACGTCTGATACCTGACTCCCCCGAGAGCCGAATAGGCAACAATAACCGTGACATACACTGTCCACCCCCAGACGAGATGCCCCTAACTAGATAACCCCTTCAGTCACTTACTTACCTCAATCCAGAACCGATGTCCTTGCTTTATGCTAAATGCTTTAGACTTGAGAAAGAGAGGTTCGCCCGAAAGCTTGTCATTAAAAAATTTTAGTGTTCTATATAAAGAACAGATTACTATGGTGAACAGAACAGAATCGCTCTTTACATTTCTTACTATATTATAATAAATACTGTTTAATGCCTTGGTGTCTCTCAACTCCAGCTCATCATAATTTTAATTATCTTCAGATTGTTCTCAAGAAGCAGTTTGTAAGGTGTAAAAATCTAATACGTTCTACCAGTCTCAAATTTTAATTAGGATACCTTTACACCCAAGAAAAGCCTAATCCTGAAAATGTGACCATGATTATTGCAGTATACGTTTTAGAGCTTTGTTTTCACTTAACTTGGTATAAAGTGTGAGATATATTAGTGCAATCATTTGAGTCTTCTAACATTATAAGATCGGCAATACCTAAAAAGAAATAGCTTAATTATGAAATAGCACAGTAACACAAATTAAATAAGCTTTTTTTGATTACCTGTAATGTATTTTTACTGCTGCAAAATGCTACATTTCTTTTAGAGAGGATGATGGAACCCAGAGCTCAAAACTAACTGTCCCATTTGAAGATTGTATTTGTCTGAAAGCACCAGGTAGAATATACGTGGAATTCAAACCGTGGCCGGTGACTAGTAACTAAATAAATGGGAATAAACCAACGGCAGCTTCTATCTGTCGTAAAATGTATTTCCTGAGATAGTTTATCATTTTGAGATTCTATAAATGTTCTCATTTATATAAACTGAAATTAAATGGATGTGTCCTTTGTCAAAGTAGTCTTCACCTTTGATCTTTAATTCTTTTAGGACATGGCAGAACACTCATTAACAAATTGCACTAAACTTGACCGTGATGATTCTATATTGGCTTTTGGAAGTGATGGTGAAAAAGCAGATAGCATGCTCAGGCTTAGTGGCCTACAGAAACTTCAGGTATTGTATAATATTCCTAACCAAGAACATGTCCTGAGAATGGATATAAGCTTAAAGGGACAGTAAAGCCACAAAAACAAGTTTAGCTTAACAAAGTTTTGGTGTATAGATCAATTCTCTGCCATTTAGGAGTTAAGTCACTCTGTTTATGCAGCCCTCGTCACACCTCCCTGCATGTGACTTACACAGTCTTCCTAAACACTTCCTGTAAAGAGTCATTTAATGTTTGGACTTCCTTTATTGCAGTCTGTTTAACTTAGAATGTATAATCTCTGCTCTGTTAATAACTTCCTTCACCTTACAGGAGCATCCTGTGTGATTAGAGTTCAAATTACAGAGCAGGATATACAATTTCTAAAGTAAGTTCACATCTGATTGAAAAATAAAAAAATTCATGCAGACTGTCAGTCACAGCCGAGAAGGTGTGGCCAGAGACAAAATGGCAGTGAATTGAGCAGTGAGACTGCAGGTACATGATCTATACACCAAAACTGATTCATTAAGCTAAAGTTGTTTTGGTTACTATCGTGTCTCTTTAATAAAAAGGATAAACACTAAATAGACTGCTCCATGGATAGTTCCCACTAAGGGTGTCTCACATACAATATAGCTCATTTATTCCTCTGCATGAGACATACATCACTGACAATTGTGTTACCCTGGTTTGAAGCCTCTTGAGTACAAACTTAGTATAGGACAAGCCGTTAACCTTTTACCCTGTTCGCGGTGTTGGGGAATATCGCTTTCACTTCTGTTTTTATGTTAAAGAGGAACTGTGACTTCTCTGGAAATGACACCGTTGACTAGAACATTGAAAATCACCATTTTTTTTAAATGCAATGCTTTTATTTTCTTTTAAGTTTTGTTATGGATTTAGTAAATTATAACACCATACACTTCAGTCCAGGCGCAGCCAGGGCAAACTTTGCAAATGAGGAGAAGTTGAAACACGGAGGTAGTTTTATCAAAGTGTTCTGATCTAAAAAGTAGTTTTTAGCACTTTTAGTACTTTAGACCAGATTTTAAAACAGAACACTTTGATAAATAACCCCCGATCTTTCATTTCTCCTCCCATGTGATTTATTTGCTTTGACTGCCAGGTGCAAAAGACAGAGCTTATACCATTGGTTGACAGGGAGCTGTGGTAGGGACACCCAGTTGCAAGATAAAGTCGAATTCCAGATTCAGTATTGTTTTGCACACTCACAAATCAACATTTGTTGCATAAAATGAATACGGAAAGATAATACTAAACATTCTAGCAAGTGACCGTTCCTCTTTAAAGGACACTACAATTATACTCTGGGCATCAGCACAACTTATCTGCATATGACAGTTGAAAGCTGAAAGCAAGAGATTAGTATAGGGCAGGGGTAGACAACCTTCTGCACTCCAGATGTTTTAGACTACATCACCTTTACTGCTCTTACAGCCATAATGCTAGCAAAGCATCAGGGGAGGTGTATTCCACAGCACCTGGAGTGTCGAAGGTTGCCTACCCCTGGTATAGGGTTTGTGTATTCTTATAAATGTGTCCTGTGAGTTTTCCTCCAGCACCACTTTCACCAAACACTTGGTAGGAATGGCTGTTTTAGTTTTTGTAATTAGGCTTTAGATTCTGTAATTAGGCTCATCATACTAGTCCGCATCAGACGCAATGGGCTCTTAACCCAGCCCTGGACGTTTGTCTGTGCATGTTCTTAGCTCAGCCAATGAGAGATCTGTGTGCGCTGGGCTGCTGACTTCACTCTACCTCACAGCCAATCACTGTCCTCCTATTATTGTTCTCATTTCCCCTTTTTGACTGATATATGGGGTGATACCACACTGTAAAAAGCTACATGTCTTTTTATTTAAGAGATATGAATAGGGCGAACAATATAGCATGAATATGAGGCCAAAACCTATCAAATTCACTTATGTTATGTTGGTGACCAGATTGTTTCTTTAATAATGCTATACATACCTGTTCCACTCTCCAATATTTAGTAGTCTGTTTAAAGGGACACTCCACTGACCAAATACAAAGTAAATAAAAATTATTATACATATACCCCAAATTAAAACGTAATTATGCATTTTTTCATTCAAGTTATATCTATAAACAGCTTGCAAAAACTGCAAATCTCTTGTCTGCTGCCTTTACAAGTCCTCCCCTTTCATACCCCATCCAGATTTTCTGTGGTTGTCCAATCCACAGACTTCCCAGTACAGCTTAAAGGAACACTAGGGCTATAGAGCCCTAGTCACCGCTTAGGTGACCAAGGCCCCGTTGCGCGGTGAATAAATGGTTAATTAACAATTCATTTGCTTACCTTAAACCAGCGCCGGGCTCCCTTGGCACTGGTGACCTCTCCTCCTCCATAGACGTCAGCTTCCGAGTGGAGCCGAATGCGCATGCGCGGCCAGAGACTTGCGTGCATTCAAACCCACCCATATGAAAGCATTACTCAATGTTTTCCTATGGGTATCTTTTTTGACGTTGGAGGTCCGTGTAAATCGTGGAAGCACCTCTAGTGGCTGTCAGGGAGAGAGCCACTAGAGGCTGGATTAACCCTAGTGTAAACATAGCAGTTTCTCTGAACTCTGAATACTAGGGGGACCTGGCACCCAGACCACTTCATTGAGCTGAAGTGGTCTGGGTGCCTATAGTGGTCCTTTAATGAGAATTCTTTGCAAGGCAGGTGCTCTGTGCAATTGCTGCCTTTTGAGTTCAGTGCAGGAAGTAACAGGACCTGTTTTCTGCTTGAAAAGCCAGGGGGCGTAACCAGGTTAATTTATAAAAGTGTCCTTTTCTATTGAAATCTGTACTTTTTCCAAAATGACAAAGAGGACACACATAAATGTCTCTCTGCTTTAGGGTCTGGAGTGTCCTTTTAACAATCCTTCTAGTATGTCCTCTATTAACAAAATGTTTTCTGACCATGAAGTACATAACACCTAATCCTATTTTTCTTGTTTGAGCAGAACGATGTTATCATTAAGATTGACCTACATTATACAAATCTGACCTCTGGGATGCATGCACAGGACACTTTGGACCATAGGATTCCCACGACATGGGTAGCAAGATTTTGTAACAAGGATACAGCTTTTATGAACAATGACCATGAACTTGGAACCACAAACGGTTGCTGCCTACCTAGAACCCAATGCTCACCCACTACGAACTGCAGCGATAATAAATTAGGAGCTAATCACCCAGGGAATGCGAGTGGAATGCCCATCAGCGTGCAGTCTAAATCAAGCAGCGAGCCAGAGGAAAACGATGAGAGACATTTTTCCTAGGTCATGAGGTGGTCTACCATCAGAATCTGAGGCTCAAGGAGACCAGTCTGCTTCTTTAACACAAGCAGTATTACAATCGGATATTCAGCGTCTTCCAAAGCCTACACATGCCTTACAATGGATAGTGTTATTGAAACTGAATCATCAGTATTCTAACACATGTATCTCGCATGTTACACTGACTTCAAGGAATGTCTTCACCCTTCATTTTCTACCTTTCAATGTATTTATTTGTACATAGAAATTGGAGTTGGATTTTTGAAAATGAATCTGCAAGCTGAATCAAAACAATCTACTTTAATATATCCATTGACCAGGACAAATTTACATAGAACGTGAGGAGTTGCCCATTTAATTCCAATGTCAACACTTGTGTAGAATGTATATGTTGCAACAAAAGTAACCCCATAGTGTAAGGTTGTCCATTTAGATCTAGCTTGGTACAAATTCAGTAGATGTAGCATTGGTTTGATGCTCAGACTACTTAGAATGGTGTGCCTTAATGCCAACTGGACATTCTGTTTTGTTCTACAGGCCTGTCATGGGATAGTATAAGTGGGTTTGAATTAAAGTTGCCTTTTTTCTATGGTTCCAGTTACTCACTAATATAAAGATGTGTATATGCATCCAATGTATAGTTTTGAAGAGGAAAGTCTAGCTGTGTTTAGGTTTATCTCAAGTCCACATTTGAACCAGGAGCTATTTTTCTCTGTGCGTCCAATAGTTATTACATTTCTCCTCAATCATTTCTCCATCAACCTATATAGAGAACAGCCATTATAGCAGGAATATTGATTAATCATAGCTAGCAAAAGACTTTTCTTCAACAAATGTTTTGACTAAAATGGGAATAGGTGGGGAATCTCCAACTCCAACAAATGTAGACTTCTTTTCTAGCATGGAGAAGCCTGCATTTTCTAAGCTGACCATATCTTGCTGTTTACCGAACAGTGGATTTAGACTAGGGATGGCCAAAGGTTAGATCCCCAAATGGTGCTTTAGCTTTTATGGCAGACTAAGCAATCTATTTTGATGAGGAGTAACAAGCTTTGGCAGGCAGCTGAATATCATTATTAACCGGAAGAACCTGCCGACTGTGCCTTCCATTCTTTCTTTTCGATGGACTGAATGGTTATCAACAGTTTGGTCATCTGGTTTTCCAGATAAAAAAGGCAGAATAAAGGATGAATGATGTCTAAAACGCACATAATACTCACGCATAGTTCTCAATTTACCGTTTTTTTGTTATTTTAATTTATTTTGTAAGTGTGTGGATGTAGGAGAGGGTGCTTGTATATATTACGGTAAATGTTATGTTTGTAGTTCGTAACTATGCAGTGCATGGATTGTACAGAAAGCTAGCGTGGTGCAATGCACCTTAAAGTTTTGGCAATTGTCTTTTAAGAGAAGATTATTTTTAACAATCCATAAATTCTTAAAACAAACCTTTGTCGCTTTTTGTCATAGAATGTACAGATAATGAATAGGCCAGACTATTGCTTGGTGCTGACGTAGAATCGCCTGTTTCTGTCTATGCAATTAAGGACATTTGTAACTTTCAATTCTCTCATTTACAGTGCTCCTTTATGATGTATTAACTCACTAAATGCAGTAGAAAGCTAACTAGAATGTGTAGAAATTAATTTATTATGCTGAAAAACACTGTTTTTATAACTTGTTTTGTTCTTACAATAAATTGTCCACCAAGATGGACCAAGACGTTTGAACTGGTAAACAACCTTTATGTTTTCTTGCAATAAGTGCAATTTTTTGTCTAAATACATAAAGATATAAGAATAGAGATATAAGAAATAAGACTTACTCTGGAAATTTCCCCATAAACATTGATGCTGGACCTGCTATTCATTTCCCCAAGTTAAATAGACACAATATGAGGGATTTACATACAACTATTTTTAAAGTGCATAATACAGATAATATATCCCCCATAAAATTTTTCTTTTACAAATGACTTGCACTGGACATTGCAAGTGTTGCAGTTGACCTGTCCTAGACCAATCAATAAATCACGTGTCTCAAATTCTTGTCTAATGGGTCTGGTCTTACCCCATAAACAACTGTTCATCAGATGTTTACGAAATAAATAGAGGCAGATAAGCAAGAAGAGACTGGCGTCACAGAACGAGTAGTTTTATAGCTGCGGTTTTTAAAGTTATAAGAAATTCTGGGCAGGGACATGAGATGCAGGGTACCATATCTTTACAATGATGCAGATTTGTTATGGTACTTAGCATGACACTCACTTGAAGTTTAACCCCTTAAGGACACATGACATGTGTAACATGTCATGATTCCCTTTTATTCCAGAAGTTTGGTCCTTAAAGGACCACTCTAGGCACCCAGACCACTTCAGCTTAATGAAGTGGTCTGGGTGCCAGGTCCAGCTAGGGTTAACCCATTTTTTATAAACATAGCAGTTTCAGAGAAACTGCTATGTTTATGAATGGGTTAAGCCTTCCCCCATTCCCTCTAGCGGCTGTCTCATTGACAGCCACTAGAGGCGCTTGCATGCTTCTCACTGTGATTTTCAATTTCATTGATAATGCTTTCCTATGCGACCAGTTGAATGCGTGCGCAGCTCTTGCCGCGCGTGCGCATTCAGCCGACGGGGAGGAGAGAAGGAGGATCGGAGGAGGAGAGCTCCCCGCCCAGCGCTGGAAAAAGGTAAGTTTTTACCCCTTTCCCCCTTCCAGAGCCAGGCGGGAGGGGGTCCCTGAGGGTGGGGGCACCCTCAGGGCACTATAGTGCCAGGAAAACGAGTATGTTTTCCTGGCACTATAGTGGTCTTTTAAGGGGTTAATAGAATCTCGTTTGAGTAAGGGCCCTCATCTACCTATTGTTTTTGTGTTACTGTGTAATTGTCTCATTTATGGTAAATCCCCTCCTCCTCCCCCTTTCATAATATTGTAATGCACTGTGGAATTAGTTGGCGCTATATCTATACCAATAATAACAGTAATCCAGTTCATGATATGGAAACTTTGTTAGGTGTAGTATTCAAACATAACCTCTAGATGGCACTGTTTTGTTAGTGCAAGCCGAATTGCATAAAATTATTTTATTGTCCAACTGTATTACATTAGTAAAATTGCTGTATTAATTTAATTAACCTAAATATGAGATGTATGTATAATTTCTATAACAATCTTAATTCAGATCTACTCTGAACAATTTTAGCAGGAAAATTATTGAAGTAAATTTTTATAATGAACCGGTAGTAAATAATAAGAGTTCTACACTACTATACTTGTATTAAAATACTTTGGTACACGCATTCAATCCTTTAAAAAATGTCTTTGATATAGGAAAGCAAATTAAATGGATTTCATGAAAAATTCACACAAACCCAGAGCCTTGCAAGATTACTAATCAAAGCTGTATCTTCTCCTATATGTCTGTGCAACAAAATATGTCACTACTGCCTTTTACATCAGGCAAATGTGCTCCCACTTGGCAGACAGAACCACATGCTCTCTACCAAGAGGTTTTGTAGGTTTGCCTAAATGTTTAACAGTGATTTTAAGTGTTACAGAAAAAATGGGGCAAACATTCTGAAAGCTTTCTAGAATACTAAACTTGTTTTTAAAAAGACTGTCAGGGCTATTTACAAAAGTGAGATAGTAAATTCAGAGTAAATTTCGAATGTAAGCCAGGAGAAGTTGAGCTAACAGCATTGATAACAGAGATTTTTTTCAGTTTGGCTATATTGACAGAATAGTCACCAGAACAACTACAGCTTAAAGTAGTTGTCCTGGTGAGTTTAGTCAGTCCCTGCAACCTTTTTGCTGTAAACACTGCCTTTTCAGAGAAAAGATAGTGCTTACATTGCTCCCTAGGGACACCTCCAGTGGCAACTCCTCGTATGGCCACTTGATGTGCTTCCTGGGGCAGTGCTGCACAGTGTGCAGCACTATCATTCAGCGTCTCCACACTCTGCATGGAGACGCTGAACTTTCCACAAAGAAATGCATCGATTCAATGCATCTCTAGGAGGAGAAGCTGATTGGCCCTGCCCCACCTCCTTGACAATTTCAGCCAATCCCATGATTTTACCATGGGAAAGCATTGGATTGTTTGAGATCATCAATTCTGGTGATGTCAGTCAAGGAGGCAGATCCTGGTAGGGGTGGGGCAAGCGCCGGCGGACCCATGTGGCGCTTGAAATAAGGTATGTTTTATTACCTTTTAAGGGGGGAGGGGGTAACCACCTAAATAGTGGTTTTAAAAATTTCTTCTAAGTTAAAGTTAATTTGTGCTGAAACATCTAAAGTTTAAAAGACCATGCGGTAAAAACTGACTGATGTATTAAAAGATCACTATAGTGTCAGGAAAGCGGTCCCCTTCCCGTGGCGCTGAAGGGGTTAAAACCCCTTCAGTTACTTACCTCTCCAACCCATCCCTAAGTCAGCTCCCCCGTCCGACGTCAGTAGAGCCAAATGCGCATGCACGTGAAGTGCCGCGCGCACATTCAAAGTGTCCATAGGAAAGCATTTCTCAATGCTTTCCTATGGACGCACTGTGCGATGGATGCGAAATTCGCATCCAGCGTCGCAGATGCACCTCTAGTGGCTGTCTAAAAGACAGCCACTAGAGGCTGGCTTAACCCTGCAATGTAAACTTAGCAGTTTCTCTGAAACTGCTATGTTTGCATCTGAAGGGTTAAAACCTGGGGGACCTGGCACCCAGACCACTTCATTGAGCTGAAGTGGTCTGGGTGACTATAGTGTCCCTTTAAAATTCACCAAAAATGGAATTTCAACATTTCATCTAAAGCTATGAATATAGCCTATAGTGGAGATTTTAATTCTTTGTTTATTCCGCTTCGGCCTAAATATTGCAATCCAGTGTTCAATCCACTAGTTTGGTGCTTTGTAAAAGAAAAAAACAAAAACACACAATCTCAAACCATAATTAGTTTGGGATCATAAGACACACAAATCTGCTTTTTTTAGTAAACTGCTAAATAAAGTATTTACAATGTAATTTTTGCAGTGAAAACATATATAAAATACTGAGTGGTAGATGTGAAAAATATTGTGTGTGGCCAATCATATAGCACTTTTTAAAGCTTCTTATCCCTTCTTGATCATTTTAAATCTGTGCCATTTTTTTTTGTTTTGTTTTTTTAATAGAAAAAACTTTCTTTGCTTTTCCTTGGTATTCTGGACATCTCTTGAGTGTTCAAATAACAGTATCTTGCACAGTATAATGCTGAGAGATACTCAGCAAATCGTGGATTCTGATTGGCTGTTAAAAATGACATGCTCTCTGCAGCCTTGCCTGAAGTTATGAATATTGTGATACAATTCCAAGATGGCCACCTGCACAAAGAAAACTTGTTAAAACTTAATGTGTTAGAGACTGTAAAATACGCCATTATTTGCCAGCTGAAAATACTATTACCCTGTTGAATATTGTTTTAAATAGGTTTATGTAAAAACAAAATGTCTTGACAGGGATGGTTTAAATTGGCTCTGTCACATTCTGGGGTTTCTGCATATTTTACAAAGACCCCTAATAGTGACATTGCTGGCCTGTGGAGACCCCGGGGTGCACAGAGGTGAGATCTAATTAACTGATGCTGTCCCCTGCATGCACCGCCACCTTTCTTTAGCTCCTGGCTCTTCATCCGCTAGGAGCCTTCGTCTGTGCTGTACACATGTGCGAGAGTACAACACTGATGTCTATAGAAGATCCTGTAAGAACCTCCATAGATAATTTTAATGGAGCTCCCTGTACCCCTGGCTGGGTGCCTCCGCCAAGGACCGCTTCCTAGCTTGAACAGGGGACAAACCGCAGCACTTTTGCTCACAGTCGTCATGGTTTGACTGGGGTCCTGGAACTGCTCCCTCCTGGAGCCGAATGGGGAATTCGCTCTAGACACCCCCAGGCACTGGACGACACTCAGTCCTGGGAGCTCTAGTCCTTACAAGGACTTTCCCCGTTGAATCCTCCACACTGGAACAAGCTGGAGTAGTGATTAGCCCTTTCCACTCCCAGTAACCAGAGGACACATAGTTCTGGGAGTACAAGCTGGAATATGTTTATTGCAGCCACAACTGACCTTATATGCAGGTCCTCATGCAAGGGGCACTCCCTCAAGGACCTGATAGTAGACTACAGAAAAACCTACACACGATTACATTGGCTCTCAGGTCCAGGACACTCCCATACAAAATAAGTTAATCCCTTGACTGTGCCTAGGAGATAATCGAGTCAGGGACTGTATAAAAAATTCAACAATCTCCAAGCACAAAAACCACACATTTCTCAAACACCCCAAAAGTACCTTAAAATATATAAAAACCCCTAAAAGTTACATCCCCTGATAGGCCCGATCTGGGTGACCAAAATATCCAAAAATCACCCAGATCAGTTAAGGGGTTAAGGAATTTCCAGGAAGTCATAATTTGACCGACCGCATGCATGGTCCCATGCCCAAAACAGTTCCAGAGAATCAGGGCTTGCGGACGGTCTAGTTCGGTAGTTTAAAAACCGAACAAACTACCGAACATAGTCAATGTTCATACCCTGGAGCTTGTTTCCCTTGTTCATGGGAACATTTCCATGAACAGTGTCTTTCTAAGTGTTGTAGAACCGAACACAGGCGATCATGAAAGTCCAGCGTGTGTTCGGGAGTTTCAGTGTCCGAAAATAGTTCCATGAATACGACAACCAAACACCGCAAAAATGCAAAAAAAATAGCCGCCACCTTGTGGTCGTCCATAGGA